TGCCAAAAATCCTTGCCGTCTGTCAACATCGAAAGTCACATCAAAACACGCAATTACGTCGTTTATGTCGATAATTCCAAAGCAACTTATGCGGCGACAGATTAGAACCCAAATCAAATGTAAGCGATGGAATTCATAATTGGCTTACTGTACACTTTGTTTATTTCAGTTTCTGCGCAATGCATTAAGATAACCATTGCGAGATGCTCATTTTATTATACATATACGTACGCGCGTATGTTTGTACATATTTTGTTTTATAGATGAGCATCATAAATATATATGTATATATATCTGAGGAATTCTAATACATCTTACATACATATGTATCTACGAGTTATTTTTCTCTGTAGGCATGTATGTACATACAAATATACATATGGCACTCTAGTGGTATCATTTACAAACGCACATGGATATGGGAAATAATACCTCAACAGCAATTCAGCTAATAAAGTTGTTACCTAAAGTGTCTTGCTGCTTGGGTCACTAAGATTTCCAATATCAGGGTTTACAAGTTATCCTCTTGATACATTTAGGATTTGTATTATTATTGTTCACCAACGCAATTCTTTATTATCAAACCCACATTTATTCGTGATGACACTTGGCAGTTATCGTTATCGCAACTTAGGAACAAAATTGAATGCCACTATCGGAACTAGCGGATTCATCAAATACTTTTGCGAACGTGAAATATGTGAATATTACACGTGAAATATTCATTTCAAAATGCATTATTCCTAGCCTGCGTTATCTATAGTTTAATAAGCAGATTTTATAATACTACTTATTATATCGTAAAGTACATTTAATGATTTTGTTAAAAGGTTCCTTGGTTGTTAAAAATGTGTAAAATATTTTTACATTTTTTATATGTTCGACTATCGACTCTCCTTCTGTACGTTATAAACATCGGACCAAAATTATAAAACCCCTGCAAGCGTCATACAAGTCATAGCTTAAGTTTTTGTTTGGTATTAAAAAAAAATTCCTGAAATAAACTGAACTTAAACAACGAAAGATTATATAATTTTTGAGACGTGCATATATTAATATATGTATATCAACGTTTAAGTTTCTACTGGTATATAAAAATTAAACAAAATAGTTAAAAGTTAATTTATATTAAAAATATTTTATTAAGCTCTAACTTTTAAAAAAAACTGTATCTTACTTTGCGATTTAATCTATTATTATTATTATTTAAAATAAAAATGGTTATTATATGGTATATTATTCTGCGTGCAGATTAAAAACCATACGAGAATAATATCAAATACAAAGTTTTTATGCGCAATGTATCTTTACGATTTTGAAATCTTTTGTTACTCCATGGCCAGGATTTAATAAAATCAAGATATATTGTAAGAGATTTAAATTAAAATCATAATACCGGCTTAATACATGAGAATAAGTAAAAAGTTACAAATTTTTGTATATTGATTTTATTTTTTTAAAGGTTACTATATTTTTAAATACAATTTGAATATTTTATTTGTTGTAATAATTTAACAATACATGCCGTATTGTTGGTAAGCTTTAGTTTTTGTGACTGACTAAGGGGAAAAAGTCGTTCTCTACCGCGTTCTATTATTTGTGTTATGTGCTTCATAGTCCATGACTTCCTCATAAATTAGCTCCTTCCACTGTTCCACAGTATGCTCTCTCTCGTCAACACTGTGATCATATGGCTCCGGAGCGGGCTAAAAAGGGAGCAAATTTAGTTAGTTAAGTTTTTTTCAATTCGATCATTTTATATGTATACACTTACAGCATCCACTTCTTCAGCATCATACCAGACATTGATATATTCATGCTTTAAAGCTTCGTCCACAGATATCCGCTGCTCTGGATCAATGACTAGCATTTTACTTAGAAGATTTCTGGCGTCAGAAGCCTTCCTGCGGCTATTCTGATTATTATCATTTGGAAACAACCCATCGGGAAAAAGTCTATCAAATGAGTATCCAGTGTATCTAGGACGATTTTCCACATAGTTTCGGACGGTTGGTTGTAACCGCTGCATAAATGAGGGAGATGGAGTACCTAATTGCTCTGAAAAGAAAAAATATAAACAATTTAAACAAGAACAAATTAGAATATGTACAGTAATTTACCAATGATTTTATTCCACTGATCTATATGATCCGTTCCAGGAAACAGTACGCCACCCCTTATCATTTCACCCATAATGCACCCCACGGACCATATATCCACGTTTTCGGTGTAGCCCATTCCCAAAATGACCTCTGGAGCCCTGTAGTATCGGGTGACCACATAGGGAGTCATCATAAAGGTAGTCCCTGCAGTACGGGCCAGACCAAAGTCTAAAATTTTTAGAGTGCAGTCTGCCTTTACAACTATATTGGATGGTTTTAAGTCCTGTGAATGAAATAAAAAAGCAATTTATTTATTATTACCCTGATATAAATATACGACTTATTTATTTGAATTGCTACTTTGATAATTTAAGGGCCTTATCAAAATAGTAATGCTAATAATATACTGTACTCTGTGAATTATTCCAGCTGAGTGTAAATGTTTTATTCCACATAACATTTGGTACAGCAAATAGGACATTCTGTCGTGATCCAAATCCATTTGAATTACTTGGCAGAGATTAGCATCCATCAGCTCCATGACAAGGTAAACATCCTGAAACTCCTCCAAATTTCTTTGTGGAGTAAACGCGTTAAGCAATCCAATTATCTAATTACGAAACAAATGTTATAACAAATTCCAGTTTCTATGCAGAGCTTAATTACGTTTTTATGGTTGACGAGCTTCATGAGCTTAAATTCCCTATATGCTCTCTTAGCATGGGTTACATTTTGGAATGGTCGAGATAGTTTTTTAATCGCCACATTTTGCTCGGTGATAGTATCGTAAGCAGCGCTATAAAATATTAAAATAAATTTTGTTATATATAAAATAACTACTTAAAAATAAAAAGCATTTTCAGATCACAAGAATATAAATCCTACTGTTTCTTAAATTTTTACTATTAAGGATTTTTTTAATAATACAAATTTAAGATTATATTGGGCCTATGAAACCCATTTTACGCCCTAAGAAATAGATAGATGCTCAGAAAAAGAATTTACAAAACCAAAAATCAAGAGAGTTTTAGCCCCAAATTAAATCAAAAATACAAAAGTTGAATTACTTAAAATGTAGTAGCACCGCGAAATTGGCTTTTAATTTTTAATCGGTCTCAAACCTCATTAATCGGTCTCGATGATGTTCTCAGACTATTATCTCAATGAGTCGTTTAAAAAGTAGGGAAAACTTATTTTTTAAAATCAATATATACTCACCATACTATTCCTTGGGCACCAGATCCTATAGGCCTTAGATTAATGTACCGACTATGAATGGTAAAGTTGGTATCTCCCACTTCCACGGTGTAGTGTTGCTGATTACAAGCTGTCATTTTATACTGCTTTTACTTATTACTTTTAGTTGAAAGCAAGGAGCATATCGGCCTTCAGGGGAAAAATTAAATTCGATTTAATAGGATAAATCAATAAAATCACAACTTTAATAGGATAGTATTTTATATATGTATGTATGTTAGTAGAAGTAGAAACTCCCAATGGTTCCCTTGTAAAGAGGTGGAGGCAGTTTTCAGAAAATTTCTTCAGAGATTAGGGGGTAGAAAAACATTGACTTCAATGGCCTTATTTGGGCAAAATGTTATGGACATTAAATGGGTCTGTTGTTGCGAAGGGTAAATAGGGGAGGCAACTTTATTGCTGAACTGAATAAACTCTATGAGCTTATACAAATGAAAAAATACAAGTATTAAAATGTATAAGATTTTGCTTAAAAATTCTTCAAGAAAGATACAATTGCATAACTCAATACCTAACTTAACCGAATTTAAATGGCAAACCTTTATTGATAAGAGATTAAACGTTTCCCAAACATTATAAAGAAGTTTATGGCAACATTAAACGTATATTCTATTCATTTTGCCTGTCCATTCCGTTCTTAAAGTGTTTAGCGGCACGCACAGAAAAAATGATTTAAAATCGATATGTCGGCTTAAACATAAAAGCACGGAATGTTGGACCACTGCTATGTACATAAGTTCATATGTATGCATGCCTGTGTAAATATGTACATACACACATTTTGTGAACGGTTGTAAACTTCTTCCAGTATATAGATGTATGTAAGATGTAAACTACAAACGTGGATCGATAATTTACAAAATTTTCAGATTTTCTTTTAAATAGAACCTATTTCTTAAATTTATACATGAAAAACGCAGTCGTTGGTAGTCAAGATAATACAGCGGTCTTCGGGTAGTGTCAATATGTAAACGTTGGATATTTGCGCATACATAGATACATACTTTGGGAAGTTGACATTTTATGTTAAATATCAATAATTTTTTCATCACCGGCACACCTGCCATTTATTTCAATCGATTATTGCACGGTTTTCTTGGCATTGTCTATTTTGTGTGTGTGAAACGTAATAAAATATTTATTTACCATTTACCGCAGACAATTGACCGATTTTTTTGTGGAAATATAAAATCGATTTTTACTTAATTTATTCTATACACTGGACACTTAGGTTGCGAACATTTTAAACTTTATTGATTTTACAGAAATATCAGATCCAACTATCTTCGGCACTTTCGCATGAGAATAATTGTACATGGATACAACACAATATACGAAAATCTATTGGAATATTCGATCACAACAAAGTTACTTAAATCAATGTGACCAGATTGGAGTACAACCAAAAAGGCGCGCGATTGCCATCAACCATGTCTGATTGATGTAAAAATGAATAGTTAATGTGTTTGTAATTAAAATAAAGTATTAACATTAAATAATCACATACAACTTAAGAAAATGCAATGTTAATTTAAACAAAACTCTAGAATCACTCAAATCACCAACAGGAGAAGGTTGCCGGTTCCGTGTTCCTATCCACCGTTCCAATTAATGGTGATATTTTGTTACGATGTATCGAATAAAAAAAAAACCACGAATGACAAATCAGCACTGTCATCACTAACAATAAATAAAAACAATAGAAACATCTTGCGATATGAAGACGGTTGGTTTTTGTGGTGATTCACAAACAGATAAGTGCTAATTTTAACAATTTCATTTCAGTCATCGCCAGCACTTAAATATCTATTGGAGAAGGATGTGCAGTTATCGAAACATTTTGTTATAGCCGTGTCCAATCTGTCGTTCTTTAAATCCCTGCGCATACATAGCAGATTCTTAGAAATATCCTGCGATGGAATTGCTTGGTTTGTCTCATGGATTGCGTTTATATGGTTGTTCAGCTCGAAGGGCTTGTATCAGATGCAAGTTAATATGTTGTTGGGCTTAATACTAGATGTTGTTATTGTGGCTGTATTAAAAGCGCTCGTTCGGCGAAGAAGGCCGGTTGCCAGCAAGGATATGCTAACCATTGGACCCGACAAGTTTAGTTTTCCCTCGGGCCACGCTTCCAGAGCATTTTATGTACTTTTGTTCTTCACAAAGCTGTATCCTCTACATATTATATTTCTGCTCCCGGTCACAGCGTGGGCCGTAAGCGTCGCCATCTCACGACTAATCCTTCAACGTCATTTTGTTTTGGATATTTGCGCTGGAGCAGTCATCGGAATTCTGGAAGGTTTAATCATTGGCCTTCTTTGGGTCAGTGAGGAAACTGCCTTCAGCATTGTTGGCTTTCTTTCGGAGGAGAACGTAGACACTTCGGAGTAACCAAAATTGGAATAATATTCTCGAAAGCAATAAACTAAATCATTACTTATGCTTTTACCAAATACATTGTTAATGTTAAATACATCTAATTGTTTTTCGTTTATCTACAAATATGGAGGTAACTGAAGTTTTTGGAGTTGTTTTCCAAACTAAAACTGATGAACAGTTTATTTATACCAATTGGGATGCTACGTTTAATTTCAAGATCTTTAAAAATACAACATTGGAGTTAAGCTCAATTTATTAATGTTTAAGTTTATTGTGTGATCATTTCCTTAATTATAAAGTTTTGTCTTTTTATAAAATTGGATCGAAAAGGGCTACGTTACAGCTGAAATTAAATATCTTTAAATACGGTAAACAATTAAATCATTGCACATTTTTTATGGAAAGTAATATTATTGGTAATGCCATTATTTTTTAAAAATGAACTTTAATTTCTTTGCCTTGAATATTTTCAGTATGCGAACATACATACATATGTATCGATATACATCGATAAGAAGTCAACAACCCCAAGCTGCATAAAGGGATGATATTTTGTATGTCATATAAAGTTTTCGCAAAAGGATAAATAAAAAACTATTTTCGGGAAAGTCGGGATGTCAATTGGATTTTTAAAATAGCAAATAGTTTTATATTGCTAGTCAGAGATTTTGCAATATGGACAAATATTCTGCATTTATTGTGTGCTTGTTGCTCCTAATTTTATTGAAATGGAAGGATGTGGGGAGCCATAATGTGGACTCAAGAATATACGGGTAGGTATTTTCTGTTAGAAAGCAAAAACATATAAGCAGTTTCTTTGTTTGTATGACTTTAATTTCCATTAAAATCAGCTGTTCTTAATTTAAATAATAGCCGCAATTAAATGTAATATAATTTTAAATGCTGATTGATGTTGTAAGATCCATATATTTTTAGTTATTTAGTTTAGTTATTTCTTACTAGTTTCAAAGTATATTATTATTGCTCTGCAGGTTTCAACAATCGTCAGGAATTTGTCATATTTACAATGGCACTATTTGTCGAGATGTTTTGAGCAATGCCTATGTTTTTGTATCCCCGAACCTCACCATGAACGATTTGGAGGAGCGATTAAAAGCCGCATATGGCGTAATAAAGGAATCCAAGTAAGTAATACAATTTTAAATAATTAACGCAGATTTTAATTGCTTTTTTTTCAGGGATATGAATGCGAATTGCCGCACGTATGCTTTGCCCAGTTTATGTTTTAGCTCTATGCCGATTTGCAGAACTCCTGAACGCACGAATTTATTGTACTTTGCCAACGTGGCAACGAACGCTAAACAGTACCAAAATTCAAATATCACCATTCGCCGAAAGAGAACCAAAACTAAAGATATTAAAAACATTAATATTTTCAAGAAGAAATCCGCTATCTATGAAGATGTGTTCAGTACTGATATTTCGAGTAAATACCCACCTACTAGAGAGTCTGAAAACCTTAAACGCATTTGCCGGGAGGAGTGCGAACTTCTAGAAAACGAACTGTGTCAGAAGGAATATGCTATCGCCAAACGGCATCCAGTAATCGGAATGGTAGGAGTCGAGGATTGTCAAAAGTTGCCCCAACACAAAGATTGTCTGTCCTTGGGAATAACCATTGAGGTGGATAAGACAGAAAACTGTTACTGGGAGGACGGATCGAGCTATAGAGGAGTTTCCAACGTGTCTGCCTCCGGAAAGTCGTGCTTAAGATGGTCTTGGTTAATGAAAGAAATCTCTGATTTTCCAGAGCTCATCGGTCAGAACTTCTGCAGGTAAGAGTGTACTCTGAAATTTGTACATTTCATTTATTTTAAATTAAACAAGAAATTGATAGTATCCCTGAACAAAGTAGATTTATTTCTCTTGATTGCTTTTATAAAACACATATGTAATAAAGAACCGCAATCTACACAATTTCAGGTAGTAGCGATTTAAATAGCTATCAGATCAGGATATACAAAAATGTAGAACTTAATCATTTAATTTTTTAGAAATCCTGGAAGTGTGGAAGGTAGCCCTTGGTGTTTTGTGGATTCTTCGCGTGAGCGGATAATTGAAATTTGTGATATACCAAAATGTGCAGATAAAATTTGGATTGCCATTGTCGGAACGACGGCAGCCACTATCCTAATTTTTATAATAATATTCGCAGTAATACTTTTCAAGAGGAGATCTATCATGCATTATGGGATGAGGAATATTCATAATGTAAGTATGCCTTCAAGCATGTAACTATTTTAAAAAATGAAATAGACAATTCAAACAAAGTGCGGTGTACCGGTACAGTTTTATTCTCTGATTAATAAAATTAAAAGGCGATCATTTTTTATAATACCCATTTTTTTATGTGTAGTTTTCTTGCAATATTTATTGTTTAAAATTTGGTGTTATTAGACGTATTTTTTTTCCATTATAAAAATAGTATCGTGTGATACCATTTACATATTTTAAGGATACTTTTTTTTTTAGTAGAACATTTTTCATTACCATTATAATTTTTAATGAAAAATTATTATTAGCCTGTTTTTTTTCAGAGTAATTCAATGTTTTTTCTTTATCATTAATTTTTTAAAAGTAATGGATTGATTAACATTTACCATTACCATTCTTTTATAACGGAAATAAGTTGGTTTTGTAAAATGTGATAAACAGTTTTTTTGTATAAGCAATACTTTTCTCAAAAGTATAGAACGTTTTATATTTGGCATTATATTATTTCGAAGTAATACTTTATCTACCATTACCTATTAATGGTAACAAATACCGATTTTACTATCATTCCTTTCTTTAAAGTTAATGAAATTGACAATTCATTTAGTAATTAATTTAATTCTTTGGAATCGTTAGAAATGACAGATTTTTTTTTGCAGATTAATACACCAAGCGCCGATAAAAACATTTACGGGAATTCGCAGCTGAATAATGCTCAAGAAGTTGGCAGAGGAAACATAGGCAATTTATCCGATCATATAGCACTGAACTCTAAGCTTATAGAAAGGAATACTCTCTTAAGAATAACGCATTTTACTCTGCAAGATGTTGAGTTCTTGGAAGAACTGGGCGAAGGAGCTTTTGGTACCTAATTTAATTAAAATACCCATTAGATAGTGCTTAATTTTTTACCATTTCAGGTAAAGTGTACAAGGGACAGCTTTTGCAGCCAAATAAAACGACCATAACGGTTGCCATTAAGGCTCTAAAGGAAAACGCCTCAGTAAAGACCCAGCAGGACTTTAAGCGAGAAATCGAATTAATATCGGATCTAAAGCATCAGAATATAGTGTGCATTTTAGGAGTTGTACTGAACAAAGAGCCCTACTGTATGTTGTTTGAGTATATGGCTAATGGAGACCTGCACGAGTTTCTGATCTCAAACTCACCCACCGAAAACAAATCTCTTTCGCAACTGGAATTTCTGCAAATAGCTCTGCAAATCAGCGAGGGAATGCAATATCTATCCGCCCATCATTATGTTCACCGGGACTTAGCAGCTCGAAACTGTCTTGTAAACGAGGGTTTGATTGTGAAAATATCTGATTTTGGACTATCCAGAGATATTTACAGTTCAGATTATTATCGGTAAATCTAAATTTATTTGCGCTTAACCAAAATAATTGAGTTGTTATGACAATTTTAATTTTTTTTCAGGGTTCAGTCAAAGTCGCTATTACCAGTAAGGTGGATGCCCTCCGAGTCGATATTGTACGGGAAGTTCACCACGGAGAGCGATGTATGGTCATTTGGAGTGGTTCTTTGGGAAATTTACAGCTATGGAATGCAGGTAAAGAAAATAAAACTGCATATAATTCCTTAAAATCTAAGCTTATACATTTTTCAGCCATATTACGGTTATAGTAACCAAGAAGTGATCAATCTTATACGTTCACGGCAACTACTATCCGCTCCGGAAAACTGTCCCACCGCAGTTTATTCCCTTATGATCGAATGCTGGCATGAGCAATCAGTAAAACGTCCAACATTCACAGATATTTCAAACCGTCTAAAAACTTGGCACGAGGGCCACTTTAAAGCAAGTAATCCAGAAATGTGAACTTAAGCTTTTTCACATACATATGTATTTTCAACGAATGGACTGTAACATAAGTAGACTTAAGAATTTAATAAAATAAATGATCTTAAAAATCTACCAGATGACGTACGTTTTCAGAGTCAGGGGGTCTGTTTTTAGGAAAATGTTTATTAATCAAAACAATGTTTATAAAATTGAATAATCAAAACAAATCAATTTTCCTTTATATTATTTTGTAACTTTATTTCGTGAGATTTGTTTGTAATAACCATATGGTATTTAAATGTACTTGTGCCATTGACAATTAAATTATCCAGTTGCAATTCCAAGGGCAACGCCTCCGAAAAATGATGCCAAAAATATGTGCAGATCATTTACTTTCGGGCCCTCTTCGTCGCCAATTAGTTTGGTATACCACTTTGACACTTTCTTGCTGTTTCTAGTTAACAAGCTTTCCGCCCTATCCAGTTGGTTGTCGACATATCTTTCGGTCTGAAAACAACACCAAAATGAATTTTGAGTACATATATAGTAATATCTTCCAATTTGCATGGAATTTCGGTTGGAAGATATTTCTTTGGTATATATTTTATTACCTTATCTTTCCAATTTTTCTCACGGCCTAGGGAAGATTCTACTTTGTCGGCGAGCTTATCAACGGTCTTATCCAATTTTGTCCAATTTATTTTTATAAGTCCTTCTTGGTGCGCTATTTCAAGCAAAATAATGCTGCCGCCAACAGCAAAAGCAGCAAATTTGCCTATCTTCATTGTTGTAAATCCTGTGGCCCTGAAAATTTAGAGATTTTTACACAAATTATTAGACAAAACAATGCACTGAAACTTATTTGGAAAAATAATACACTTTTTTGTACTTTATTTATTATTGTGGTACCCAAGACAGTCTTAATCCGGCAAGAACCGCAAAGAAATGTAGTTTTTTAGACTCTTATTTCTAATGCAAAAACAATTGTTGTACAAAGAAAAATCATTAAAAAACTAGCTTAACTCTCCGCTTTCTTCAGAATGTGAAATATTCACTATTAGGATATTCTTAATCATAACTAAAGTTTGCAAACAGTTATTATACTGCCAGTATCAGAGATTTCGCATTGATTAAACTGGGCTGTGCTGCTACGCAATGATATAACACATACCATCCTGAAGTGACACCAATTAACATTTGCGAATATGCTGAACGCTGACCAATATCACTAAAAACTTTTTTTAAAAATTCCGAGTAATTAGTCATTTTTAAAATTAGATATTGACGTTAAGATGCGAAATTCTGAGTTTACAAATTTACACAATAATATATGCTAGCTAAGATAGCGTCAAGATAGACATCAATTTAGGCTTTTTATATCGGAACATGGAAGTGAAACAATATTTTTTGACGATATTTAAGAGAAGTAAATAAAAAATAAATTTTATACGTCTGTAGATTATTTGGAAATAATATTTATAGAATTTTTTTCTTTTGCGTATAAGATCCGCTTTTGGGTAAATAAAGGATCTTTACTTTAAAACGCGGAGCCAACATTGTTCGGTTTCAGACGGAAGCCCAGAGCACCCCTGACTATATAAATAAGGCTAATTAGTCAGTTTGGAGATAAATTTCTTAATAAGACATTACTGCTTACATTTCATTGTTACTTAAGGAAAGTACATTTTCACAGAGAGTTAAATACGTCCAGGATGGCAACGCCATGTTAATTTATCTGTTTTTCGCTCATCTGAGAACCGGGCTTAGCTGTTTGACAGTTTTTTGCCTTCGCTCTCTCCCTTTGCTGAAGAACACCAAACATATTTCTTTAAGGGGACCCCCCCCATTCTCGATTTCAAATTTTGACGATTGTACATATGTACACATATTATTTTTTGGGCTTGCAACTTTACATCCATTTAATTGAAGACTTAAAGAATAAGAAACAAATTTAACAATTTGTTTTTTTTTTGTTTGTTGTTTTTTATTCTTGAACAAAAGCCCTTTCGGCGTAGTGGATTTAAGTTCACTGGAACATCTTAAGTCCTTAAGTCCTAGCAATTTTTAAATAGTTAAGGGAATAAAGCAAGACAGCAGGGAATATTTTGGATAGTTTCGTTCAGTGCTGAAACTATCTGAAGAACTTTTTTACAATTCAGTCGTTTACGGCTTAATGGTGGATATGGTGTTAAGAGCGTGCATCAATCATATTAAAAAAATATTTATTCTAAGGCTGGAATGACACATTCAATTTCTAGCATTCATTGTTTAAACGTTCTATTTTAATAATTCAAATGTGGCCAGCAGCTCTGCTGCTAGAAAAATAAGTGTGCGGCAAATTCACATTATTCCTATACCGCTATACAGATATCGTTTTTCTTCTGATAAGGCCCTATATGTACACATCAAAGGGATATAATCCTTTGATTAAGGACATTATTTGTATTGTTCGCGCGTGGCGGGGTTGATATATACAAATCCCAGCACAAATCCGCTAATTCAAAACCGTTACGACCTCTACCAAATGAGATCTGAACAACAAACCGTTTAGCTGCTACATTTTTTTCAACAGCCAAAATAAAGGGAATTAAAGATGAAAAAAAATCGGAAAAAAACATTTCTTTTCTTCTTTATTATCTTACGCCGGGCTTTCCTTAAAAATATTTTCCCGAATAAGAGCCGGTTCTCGTGTCCCTGACAGCTGTCCAAAAATTAAAGACTAGAAAACTTTTCGTAAAAGCAAATGGTTGCTCGACGTCTATAATTTTTTTAAACGGGAAAGTATAAAAAAAAGCTGCTTTGATTAAATCTTCTTAATCTTGCTTTTGAGATCGCTATCAGCTGTCATTTTGTCGAGCCGAAGAATACAGGTTGCTTGCCAGATCTAACGTTGACGCTTGATAAAACCAATTTTTCTTAGCATGGACTTTATCTGTCCTACAGATTTTGATCTGCTTAAAAACTATAAACTATTGTTTTAATATATTAATTGTTCTTCGGTTCGCAAAAATATTTTAGAGTCCTTACCTTTATAATTTGAAAACTTTAGACAAAAACCCAAAGTTCGAATGAAATCTACAATACAAAATGTACATGAGTTTATTTAAAATAATTGTTAAAACTACTTAAATAAATATCATACAGTATATTTACAAATTCGAATAGATTAGCCAATTACTTAGCAATTTTAATTACTTTGCTAAATCACCAAGAATTATAAGTCCGTAATAAGCATTGATTACAGGTATGTTGATTCACCTGAAAATAAATAAAAATAGTTAAATAATCAGTCGTTAGTAATTTATCAATAATATTCATACAATTTTATGATAAATATTAAAATAGCATGTATAGTGTTTGGTTTGATGTAAGCCGAACTTATTCGATGATAATGAAATACAAAAAAAATGCATTTTGTTTCAGGAAGTTCATCAATTGAACCGATTTAGATGCAAATTATTTTCTAACACAATTCAAATTGATTCAATTAACTATCGGATCAACATTGAAAACAACCTTAGAATTCAAAAACAATCGGAAGGATTTAACATTTTGATGTTGGAAGTATTAAATGAAATGGGGTCCGGTTACAAATTTACATGAAGAGGTGAAAGATGATTGATGAGATTCGATGCGGATACTGATAAAGGGTTTGCCCGGTTAGTTGACTTTTCGAGCCGCAGGCATGGGCTCCCACTCACCTATGTACATTAAAGTCTAAACAGATGTGCAGAGCCCAGCTGTAATCGATCGTCTTCCCTGTTAAAGGAATTGGATCTTTGCAAGCCTGTCTGCTAGTATACTCGTAAAAGTCTTGAGGACATATAAATCCAGTTCTGGTGGCTTCGTTTTATACATCAAAAATAAGAGATCGTTCAGCCAGAAGTCTTTTAAATCGTCTCGGGTGTTTATTCTGGCGAAGTCAATAAGAATATAAATGTGTGGACGATATATGATAAAAAAGCTCTTCAAACAAGTTCAATTAATTTAATACTATTAATTTAAAAAAAAAACCGGTAACGGACAAGACGTCAAATTGAAATCTTATTATAAATAAAAAGTAACAAAAGAACTTTCATTATTACTCGATTAGAACATATAGATTTTAGTAAGATCTGGGAGAATTTGAGAGATATAGTATTGCAAGTGATTCAGAAAACTCACCGGATTCCCAATCTTCCTCGACTTCTTCGGTACCACAGTTGAATTTTGGAGAGGATTGTTTACATGTGATGTATGAATTGTAATTGATGTTCTTATTTTCATTTATACTTCGAGTGTCAGAGGTGATATGAACTTCACTATTCTGCCATTTGATTAAATCATTTTTTTTAATGGACGGTTGATTAATTATATGATTTTTTTTTATTTCCTCCTTTGTGGAATCATTCAAGCTTGATAAAAGAGGTTTGCTGTTAGGCTGTTTGCGTTTAGACGCAGTCGAAGTATTCTTAGAATTGGTTGATGTGTCGTATTGAATTTTAGTCTACGAATATTAGATTTATACATAAAGCATATTTTCAGCGCAAAACGTGTTTTCACTTACAACTATATCCTTATGATCCAACGGTTCTATTGTTTGACTTTTCGCTGTATTATCATTGACGATTGCAGGTAAGACTTTTGTTTTAAGAAAGCAGTTTGGAGATAAACTGTCATAATTGTTTGGAGACAAACTGTCATAATCCGATCTTTCAAAATTTAAAACGTTGTCATTTTTCTCTTTTTCGGAAGGTTCAGCTTGAACATCATTGCTATAATTCTCTCCCTCAAATAAGATGGAAATCTGAAAAGTAAATAAATAAAGCTTGTAAACAATTGAAGGGCGTGCAGAGTGATTACATTTGACCACATGATCCAGCAATTTAAGTCAAGATCTTAAACAAAGAAACGTACCTTAAAATCCTCTGAAAAGGATTTATGTTCTCTGTCCTTATGTACATCATCGATTTCTGATTTGCTTAATGTATGTATATATTTGTTAACTGTTCCATCGGACTCGCAGACTGAACATAAAAAAAATTGTTAAACTTTTTTATACATTTCAAAATTACAACTGTACTTACTTGAATAATTACGCACAAAAAATGTATTTAGCCAAAAATGGCATACCTTTTTAATGGAGGATCTTACCGGTGATATAAAATTTGAACTATCACAAAATAGTTCGAATTTTATATCACCCGCAACTGCTAATGATGGTTTACTGGTCAATACAAATGATTTCTGGAAATCAATCGTCCAGGTTTTCAGTCTCTGAATTTTAAGGAAGAATAATAAATAAATTGGATATTAGATGGATATATAGAAAATAATTTGTTATATTATTTTGCATAGCTCACAAAATTATTTTCGTTCAAACTCTTGGTTAATACATATGCAAACTTTGTTTTCTTGGACAATGACGGAAAACCCATTATTTCCGAGAATCATATTCATAAATTAAAAACAGAAAAAAATAGTTATAACAAAATATAAACAAACCATTTTAAAATTATTATAAAAGGATATTCACTATTTGAAAACTGTCAATAGCAAAATATTAATAAAGCAAAATATGTGTTTATCATGAACATTAATTTTTATGATTTCTAGAATGTCTTCGGAGACATCTGCAAAAATCAACATTTTAACGGTTTTAACCGTTACATTCTAAGAAAAGGAAGTTACGTAATCCGGTAAATAAAAAATAAGAAATTTAACGTAATCGGGGGGTTGTGAGGTAAATGGAAGTTTATCCACTAAATGACTCGTCTTAATGGTAAGCTTAGAAAAGTTTTATATAACCTAACGAGAAAACGCGTCTAAGAAAGTTACCGAGAGTAAATAAAATGAAATTTTTTTAAAAACAAATACCAATTATTCACTTACATCTGGCTTTACATTTTCTGTGGCCGAGTCGTGTAATACAGATACTGAACATTGTACCGTGCCTAGGTTTTGAAGAAAACTGGACTCCGAGAATCGTATTTCGCATACCTTGGATAATATTTTTTGTTTCAGCTTGATTAGTCTTTATTAGTTTTCGAAATACTCACGTTAAGGCTTATTTTTGCATATGGAACACTTGAACAAACTAGTTTGGAAAAATACTGAACATATCGACGCTGAGATGGGATTGTCACACCTTTACGGTCCTTTGTACGCTTCTCATCATACCACGCTAATGCATCATCAGCGGATTTTTGTAGTCCACTGAACAGTAAATATGCACAAATCATGGTACCTAAAATAATATGGATAACTTGGTTAGATGGGTCTAAAAAATCTATCGAAATACAATGAATCTGAATTCAACTAGAAAAGTGCAATAGGGGACTGTTTTAAAATTTCGAGTTCTTGTTTATAATTAAATCTTGTACTTGAGCAATTTATGATAAGATACAAATTTAGGTAAAATGCACCCTTATAAATCATTAATAATGATTAATTATTCAGGGAATCACGACACTTTTCTTACCCGTTCTTCCTTTTCCAGCTTTACAGTGCACTGCAACGACATTGGACGCATCTTCCTTAAGCCATAAATCAACATCCTTGCAAAATCGTTGTATTAACTCAATCGTTGGAGGGTTATGGTCTTCGAACGGAAAAATTGCTACTCTCTGTATAAATTTAATTTTTATTTTAATATGCAATGATCGGAAAGGTTATACCTTACCCCGTGAAATTTTCCGATGTCATAATTCCGCTCTAAACATAGATTATATATTTTGTAATGTTGGCCATGATTTTCTTCCAAAAATTTATAGACATCCTCTAGACGGTTTCTGTATAGGCCCTCTATTTTATCCGGTGCCGGATACCCCATGGCAATTATATTATCATTAATGTCTGTAAAAAAAATACGCATTATTTAAATTATTTGTTTCTCAAGTCGGAAGCGGATAAGCTAAGTGGCTTACATGTTAAATCCAAATTGTATCCTTTTTCTTTGTATCGTATACGTTTTTTGCTCACTACATTGCGTATCGCGTTGGACATTAACGAAATGGTGTTGGCCATATTTTTAAAGTTAAAAGACTTGTCTTTTTTTAAGTTAGGTTAGCTGCATCCATTCAAATCTATTTCGAAACCAGTTTTTGACTTATATTTACTCCATTTCAATGCTTATGTTCTGAAAAGACAAAAGTTAACAAGCCAATATAAATGAATGCTGCATTAATAATAAGCTTTGATACCCTTTTATTACGTGAATGGACTTTTAGCTAATTGGGTAGGTCTCTTTTTGAGGCCTTTAATAAAGCAGCTTTGTTTTCAAAATTATGGTATCTTCCAAGTCTTTTGAACCCGACATGCAAATCAACTAGAGAAAATTTAAGAAAATAATTAACTAGATATACTCAGAACTATAATTGATAATTGATCTACCATTATATTTAAAAATAACACATCTCCAAACAGGTTATTGATATTTGCAACAGGAAAATGATGGTCTTGGTATGCTTATTTTAGTAAAGAATATCACTTCATGTTCTTTGAGAATATTAAAAAAAGATTGCAATTATTTTTTGCGATGTAAGATACTAAGACCAATTTTATTGTCCCCATGATAGCTTTGATATAAGTTTTAACATGAGAAAACGTTTGGAATTTGACAGTTAAAAACCTACTTTTATCATGACCACGAGAAATAGATCCTAAACATATGATATGACTGCCCTAGCAAGAGATTGGCCCTAATATTCCTGGTTTGATAATGTACATATTTTCTCTTACTAAGGTACCGATATTTCATGGCTATATGTCGTCATATTTCTGTATGTAGATCTGAAAATTGCAAACCATTCTTAGATACATATTGAGGCAAGTACACATACAGACATGCATTGCTTGCAATAAAATAGTTTTGAATGGACAATTTCAGGAACGGGTAAAGTGTTAACCTAAACCCTTTTCATTTAGCATTTTGCCCAACTTCGGTGTATGTATGTCCTTAAAATTGCCATTCACACACGCAGGCACACACTTACGGCACACACGTGAAACATACTTACATGTATATGTATCGACATATTATCAAAGATAAACAATATAACAATTTTCCGCTGGGCATAATACATTCAGTTCGACTGCCAAATTGTTCAACTTGCCAATAAAATTTTCTTATTGAAGTCAGTGCACGGAATTCGACCAATTAAGTTGCTTCACTGCATGAACTGGCGGTTTTTAAACAATCAAAATCCTTATTAGAAACACCGAACAGTAATTTCGAATTACTTAACATAGCGACTGATTTGGCAACTGTTTTTTGTTTTATCTTGTAGACACACTTTTTTGACAAACTGTTTGCGAATGGTGGTATGTATTGTAGTTAGTGCACATATGCATGTACAGAAATATGTAGATATGGATAGGCATGTGCACATATATGCACCGATTTTTGTGCATTTATGTACATATTTCTTTAAACAAAAACATATTTACAATTCCACAGACATTTTACACATTTACACTATCAGCACCACACGAATATATGGGCCTACTGTTTAATACATATGTATGTTCATATGGGTATGCTTAAGTCAATAAGCTAAATGTATTTGGGTTCCAACCGAGCAGGTTTTTGTTACTGCATTTCAAAAAATTATCACATGTTACACATTAAGCCACGAAATTTCAAATAAAACTTTTAAATTATGTGTAAAACTTAAACAATAGCTCATGCTCTATTAAGTGTATTATTAATTTATCAAGCGTGAGATCCACAGGGTGTTTATGGTAAGCGATACCACTGGAAGTTGTGAGAAAAAATACATGTAGCGCAATCGACGTGCGTGGGCCTTTTCGATTAAATTGTGTATGCAAAAAGTATCGAGTAACAATCGATAGACCAATTCAGATTTCATTATATTTTATCTAAATCTTTTTAATATTATCTATATAATACAAAAAATTGTCATTTAAATAAATACATATGAAATCCGCTAAAATAAAATTGAACAAATGTTTTTCTTATTATGTGGGATGGTCTTACCTCTTCTAGTTTTTAAACAATTTATTCAAAAATAAACAAGAATTTGACTTACAGTATTAAAACGAATTCGAATTGTCTTGAGTTGCTTTTCAACCGCTCGTGTAAAAAGTAAAATCAGTAAATACAAATAAATTTTGCTAATTTAAGCACCTTTTAAAATAAAAACATAAAAATATATAATAATAAAATAAATAAATAAAATTAATGATAAAAGATGCTATTTAATTGGTTGTAAAATTGCTGTTTTTGGAATTATTGACTATGCAATTTTTAAATATTAAAAATAACTATTAATAGTTTTTTAAAGTACATTTTTGTAATATCAATAAGGTTTTCAAAGTTTAAAATCTCTTGGATTGACCTTCTTAAGATATGTAGAACAAAAAAGCTACTTTTAATGCCCTTCCTACAATACTTCAAGAAAAAAATCGATTTAAATCGATTAAAATTCTGAACTTTCTTGAAGTGATGTTATAGAGGTTTAAAATTGTGAACAATTATTTTGATTCATATTTAATTATTATTATTTTGTGTATTTAAGCTTTGATGTGAAATTCGATATAGTTTTGTGAGCTTGGATAACAAATAATAAATATCTTAGGTGTATAACAGTGTAAAATTAAGTTAATGGATTTTTGTCTGAAAATAACAGCATGCAAGTTGCTGGCTTAAGGTACACTCTTGTGCAAGATACCGTCTTCAAACATTCAATTAAAATCGATTCATTAACATTTATATCAATGCTTTTCAAAAATTAAAACATTGAAAATTCAATTTAAATATATATTTATTTTCAGCTCTACTTTGCTCTCTCTACCCATTCAGTCAGAAGTTTACGACACAACGAAAGATAATTCTTGACCCTTTAAGTATACATAAGTGATCAGCATGAACTGCCTATATAGCCGTCGGTCGTCCGTCCGTCAATCAAGTCAAACAGTTTCAAAACTATCTGGATATAATAACTGTAAAAAGAAGAAGAAGTAAAGAATACATAACTTTCTTGCTTTTAAACATTAAACGAATACTTCCGTGAAATAGTTATTTTTTTTTATAAAAAAATGGGATGACTATATCATAGGATATCCTATTGCCATAGAAAAGTTTTGAAAATTAATATGGAAATGGAAATAGTTTTCCAAAATATACTTTTTACGATTTGCAAATTCGGTCTTAATTTTTTTTAAATAAAAGGTTATATGTGCGAGGATTACATTTACTTTCGTTATTTTCTAAATGTCATCAAAAAAAAAATTTTTGAATTATTTTATCGCATAATTTAGATGTTTACATAGAATTTAAGGAATTCATTTCAATAACTATTTTCTTATTATTGCTCCTCATTAACGATTTCAAAATTTTGATCTAAATTTAGTAGAAAAAAACTAAGTATTTATGATCAGGGAAAAATCAACGTAGGAGTTGGCCATTTTACCTTTTTTTTCATGACTGACATCATATTTCCATATGTAAATTAAATTACAGAATGGAAACCAAAAAATTATACCTTGTATATTTGCATCGGCTTGAAAAGTCTTTATACCAAATGTTAGTTGTAAACTGTTAAAGCTGACCAATAGTTTATATGTATATCGGAAATATATTAATATAAATTACTCATACAAAATACTCCAGAAGAAAATATTTGTGAGTAATTAGGAAAATACATATTTAGGTATCCCTCATGAGTGATAATTGACCAATGAGAGTTTATTATTTCAAAAATATAACAATTTGCCTGTTTACCCTCGTATGTGGAATACTAATACGAAGAAAAAAATTAAAGTAAGATTTAAATTTAAAGAATTCGATTTTGGTGTCTATATTAATAATTGAATAAAATCGCAAATTTTTGTCTTGGGTCATCCTCTGCTGAAGAATTCGTAGTTGTTTCTTTTACCCTGACTTCATGTTTGCTGTGATTTTATTTTCATCGCTTTGTTCATGTAAAAGGGTATTATTTGGGTAAGTATCACCGTGCAGGTTCAATTTTCAGTTTTGATTTTAAGGAACATTTTGTAAACCCATTTTTTTTAAATATACTAATTTATGCGACACACAAATAAAAACCAAGTTTTTACCGTATTAACCAATTTTTTATTTTTCTTTTTTTTTCATTAAAAAGAGTATCTGCAGTCACTTTGCACCAAATGAATTCCCTTAGGCTAACTAACTAACCGCCATTTTCATCAGACAAATATTGCTTTAATATTTTTAAGAACCTTATGCATGCTAATGAATCTCAAGGTGATCTTTAAGAAATATACTAACTAATGACTTGTCAATTTGTTAAATAAAATAAAACATAAATGCTAGAACCGAAGAGCCGGTATGTCATAGCCCGATATACATAACTTAAGATAGGCGCTTGAAGCATTGGCTAGAGGTTGCGTTTTTTTACCAAATCTATAGAAGGCTCCAAAATTTTTTTTTTGTTCTATAGGTAAAAAATTATTTTAAATAGTAGTAATGCAATATTTCTTACCAAAAGAAAGTCAATATATTAATTATTGTTTGGTGGTGTACCTGCAAACACCTGGCGGTGACCGATCCTATTGTCGTCAAGATCCAGTTAAATATGCAGAAAAACGGACAGGTAATTTTCAGATCGAATCATTTGGAGATCTGCAACGCGTTTTTCCCCGGAACCGGGTATAATTATACTGCTTCATTTTGAAGGGTATATTAGATTATTTTAAAAATTCTGTAAAAGCGAAGACCTACACAATTCCGAATACTTAAAGATCTTTAATATATAGACCAATTATTTTGCGAAAGCTTGTACGTATACGAGAAACTTTACGCATTTCCTTTATTAAAATTGCGTACTTCTAGAATTTGGTTTGACGTTGTTCGAGTCTTAGCGTATTTGTTCTTACTAGTTTTCTACGTTATAACTTAAATTTTAAGTGCTTGCAATTGTCATGTTAATGGGTATTCGTAAAATAAATAATGAAGAGACGACGACTATCAGTTTTGTTGATTTGATGTGAAGGTGGCCGATCGAAAACGATCGAATGCTACGATTTTAAATGTTTCGAGTCTGCGTTTTACGGTCGCACTTAAGTTATTGTTTATTTATCTTTACTCATAGGCAACCCTTAAGCAACTATGAGTGGTGTTGTCATTAGAATCGATGGTTTCCCACCGGCGAGCGGGACCGGAATCGCCCAGCTGACTGTCCGCCAGTGCGACCGTAGCTGGCGCTGCTTCCACTGCTGTAGCGGCTGCTCTCGCGTCCCCCGCCGTAAACCTCGCGGCGATTAAAGCCGCTCCCGCCAGCATCCCGTCCATTATAGCTGCTGGCCCCGGATCGGCCAGAACTGTAGCCGCGCTCCGTGTGGCGACTCGAAGAGCCGCTGGATCCGCGCTGTCGGAATCCACCGCCGCCGCTGCCGCTGCTCGTTATGCTGTGCCGGCCGAAGTCGCCGCGCCGGCCCCTTTCCACCGGTCCGCCACGCCTACCTTGGCGCGGACGCCCCTTCGATATCTCGACGCGCAGCTGGGATCCCAGTAATTCGGAGCCGTTCAGTATGTCGCACGCCTTTTCGGCATCGTCGCGATGCTCAAACTCCACAAATGCGAAGCCCGGGGGGTTGAATGCTATCCAAACCGAATTCAGCTTGCCGTACTTTGTGAACTCCCCCTCCAGATCGTCCTTTTTCACTTTGTCGGTCAGGTTCCCGACATACACTCTTGTCCCACGCTGATCGCCCATGCTAGACATCTATAGTAACTGCGATATCCTTTCAGATACCTGCTTTGAAAAATAAATAATCAATAAGTTATCACCGCCGGACACTTAGCGTTTGTATCTATATCAAGTTTTCAACCAGGGTGGTTAAACTCGTTGCAAAAATGCTAATTTTTAAAAATATCCTCGCATTTGGAACACTGAAATCGGGTGAAATTTGTGTTTATTTATAGTATTCCGGGCCCTTAAAAAAGGGACTTTCCATCACATTAGTGTCTTTCATATTTACAAAATGTAGTAATGTTATTTAAAATACCATGTTTTTTAACTAGAATTCTCGAGCTTACTACAACTCACTAAAAAATTAAATGCACAAGAATAACACATAATTTATATACAAGGTAAATGCTAAGACTTGTGTATACATTAAGTTTAATTATGGTAGTAGCAACTAGATGGTACTTTCCCCTTTAAGCATAGTACTCTAAACGAAAAACAAGTTTGCCCGGGAAAAGTTTAATCTATCCAGTGTGACCGAATAATTAAGAGTTCATCAGATCTGAGTGTCCCTACGGTCTTAGTGTCAATCAGCTGGGTTTATCGACAAACAGTAAAAAATTAAAAAAAACATATTTGCGGGAGAGGGCCTTTAAAGGAAATTGTGAAATACCGCGGAAAGAAAAAATCGGCCAGTGTACAAAGGTTGTAACAAGCTTGGAGCTTGGTGAACCTTGACCTAGATTTAATTTCAGAAGACTTTGTATTTTTCTGGATTTTTCGTCGATCTAAGTACCGGGGTGAAAAAAGGGCTTTATATAAAGTGTCCGCCATCTGTTTGTCTGTCGCTTTCTCTCTTAGCTATCAAACGGAATTCGTCGATCTATGTACTAGTCTAAAATCTAATTGATTTCTTAAACGTCTGAAAACTCAGATCGAAAAACAAGTTCGCCAGCGGAAAAACTTGAACCTTCCCCGTGTGAAATGTTGAAAATGTTGTTCTTCAGAGCTGAGTGAACTGCGGTCTAAATGTCCATCAGCTAGGTTTTCTTTACAAACAGTTAAAAAAAACACATATCTGCAAGAAAAAGCGCTTCACTGATATTCTGAAGTACCTTAGCAAGACAATACAATTTATATTTAATTTTTTGATAATGATTTGGTTACTTAACGTTTATAGCTGCACCAATTACTTGAAATTTTACGTTGTTCTTTGTGTTTTTCCGTCCGTTTTTTGAATTTAGAAACACTCTGCTCTAATAACAGACACTTCCAAATTAAGTTATTTAATCCTTTCGCTATAACCGTTTAGAAATTAATTTAATAAGGAAAATTCAACAAAGTGGATTTTTCTATTTATCTAGGAACATGGAGCGTAGCTTTTTTCGACCGTTTCAATTTGTATGTTTAATTCCATCGTTCCGGTTGAGATGTTATTGGCTATGTACCATGAAGTGGTTTGGCTTCGTTTGTTTATTGTTATCTATTGTATTTACTAGGGATGTCAAATATTTTTAAAATATCGTATCGCTGATATATTTTCCTTAAGAAAAATATTGATATGATATTTAATATATCGCCAAAAAATATGGATATATCAGATATTTTTGATTTTTTTTCAGTTGAATTTCAAAATTTTAACCGCGTAAATAAGCTAACAACAAGGAAACAAGACTTTTGCCCTAAAATTAATGTAAAAGCACTAAAAAAATATAAAAAATAAAATACGTTTTGCTACATTTGTTATTTTATTAGTTTCATAAGTCTTTGTTTATGGATTTTAAAAATACTCTTTCCGTTATGTGGCGGTCATGCGGCTGCGTGTGTCGAAGACAACGCACTTAATAGCCGACTCTAACCGCTCTGACGACACTGAGCTACCCGAGTACAAGAATTCCACCGGGTTAAAGAGCTGCACGGCTCCACTCAAATTTTTGTATTGTGTACTCTTATTTTTGAGTTGTGTACTCTAATTTGAGTACAACGCATTCAGCTGATCGAGTTCGCATCGCACTGTATTCTCATTTCAGCGCAATTTTGAGTATTCATATGAAATGGCATTGAATGAATGTGTGTGCAAAACGGAATGAATGAATGAATGAAGCATAGAATTGACTGAATACTCAGTATACAATTTGTGCGCCGCTTTGTCATGATGATGCATTTATTGATTTCATCGAAGTCCAAAAAGCTACAACCTTAATAAATCAAATAGACGAGGAAATAAACGGTTATTGTAACACAAGTGTAATTTTTTCAGATACTTTTGATTGCCTTAGTTGGTGGACCGACCATAAAAAAATGTTTCCCCTTTTATTTAAGACTAGTTGTAAGATTTTTTGTATACCAGCAACTAGCGCAGCTTCTGAGAGAGCGTTTTCTGATGCCAGAAACTTAATTACTGAAAAACGCTGCAGTGTATCAAAAAATCAAGAAAGCATAAATAAAATTATGTTTCTACATTCTAATATAAATAATATTTAATAAGAAAAAAATTAATAATTAGTTTTTAAGCGAAATATACATACATGAAATGAAAATAAACATTGTATTATTGACTCTTATTTAATTTCGCAATAGTAAATACAGCTCACGTAAAAGGAAACAATGCGTCATTCATCGCACTCACTATTTTTACCTGGTTCTTTCGGCATTCAATTCGCTCTCTCTATGTGTGAGTTCGATGAGTTGAGTACAGCGGCGGCGCACACATTCATTGCAATTCGCAGCCGAATTCATTCAACTCATTGGCAGATGAATGTCTCATAAGTCGTTTTGAATTCGGCCGTGCAGCCCTTTACACCGGATCGCTGTCCCAGTCGGTATAAGGCATGCTTATGTACATGAGAGAAAGATATGCAAGTATCAAACAATATCGAAAAATAAACTATCGATATTTTGATATTTGGCTAAAAAAATATCACGATATAAATATATTTTTTTTTTGCAAAAAATATCGATATATTGATATTTTGATATATTTTTGACATCCCTAGTATTTACGAAAGGACGCATAATAACAAAGAATTACATAGATTCTGCATTTTTTAATAGTTGTAATGGCTGAAATGGAAATCCAAAGTAATAAAATGACGATAACAGAGGAAACGATAACGGTAATATAATAATTGATGACTTTATTTAGTGCTTTTAGGTAAATTTGAGAACTTTGTCTTAATGCGTAGTAAGGCTATGCATTCATGTAAATATATGTATGTACATATACATATGTATGTGTGTTTGCATATGTACATGTCAAGAGCGCTTTAATTCAAAATTCTTTTTAAATCTGAATATAGCCTTGGCAGTTTATTATACAAAAATGTATATATATTTAGCAGGTTAATTATAATTTTTTTTTTTTTTTTTTTAACCCATGAATTGTTGATTTTAAACTGTATATGTATTTTTGTTATGTATGTATGTATTGTTTTTGTTTAATATACAGACAGTCTATTTTAACATACTTACCAAACTTTTTTTTTTAATTTTCAATTTTTTGTTTAAATAAAATGTATGCTTTTAAAATAAATATTTATATGTAATAATTTATTTTTAGCAGACCCGCAAGGAATGTGGAAAAAGAGGACGTAAACCAGGAAGAAAGACGTCGACAGAAAAGTTGGATATCAAGGCCAAACTTGGTAAGGAAAAATAAAAAAATTTCTGATGGTATTATAATTTCGGAGAAACAAACACTATTATAAAACAAATTATTACATACGGGGGTGTCAGTAGTAGTGTCTTCCAAAGGATTATTTTTTTCCTTACACTTACGGGGATAACACAGAAAATTCTTTGATTACGTTTGTAAAATTAAATTGGCTGTATAAATATTTTTTTTCCTTGCTCTCTTTTTTAGAACGTAGCAGGCAAAGTGCGAGAGAATGTCGGGCCCGTAAGAAACTGCGGTATCAGTACCTTGAGGAGCTGGTTGCGGATCGGGAGAAGGCAGTAGTTGCATTGCGGACCGAACTGGAGCGCGTCGGTATTTAGATTTCCGTGCCAAGTTCAACAAATTTTTTTATATATCTCTATTACAGTTAATTCAATGGAATAGACAGTTAAATGAAAATAGCACTCCCATCAACAATGACCAGTTGCTTCAGGAAATCGGAATCATCAAACAAGAATAAAACATTGTATTTCTTTATATAAAATAATCACCATGTAATAAATGTAACCCAGTTTGTTTTATTTATGGTTTACCCTTTCAATCGCACATTGGTCATTAAGAATGAACAGTTTTGCTTTTAAAATGTTCATTAATTTACACTAATTGTATTATGTTCCGTTAATACTTACGCTTTAAACGTCCCCGTGTAAGAAATAATTATAATATTAAAAAAAGTAATTGCAGAATGTTAAACGAATGAAAGGGATCTTCTAACCCTTATTTGTATAAACTTTCTTAGGGTTTATCAAAATCCCACAAGGCAAATACCAGCAGAATGATTGGACAATGTGCAAGCCCGAATCCATGTGAGCATACTTTTTAAATGAGTTTTTAACTCTTTCGAACTATTTAAAAATACTTGTTTCTGCTTTTGTTTTATAAAATTAATTGAGACAACATATTAAAACAGAATCAAACTTTTAAATAATCTCAAAATTTAAATGGCGATGTCCACTAATGGATCTCGCCTGTTTATGCCTACAAATACAAACTGTCTTTACATATTCAGAAAATATTTTTAAAAAAGTAAAGTAAATCTAAAATAAAAAGAATAGAAAACAAATTAAAATGTTTTAGGTAGAAAGGAACAGTGGAAAGTGAAACGATTTTTTATGGGACTCAGATAATTAGAAAACTATGCGATTACTTATCAGTGAACCAATGTATCGATGGTTTGTCACATCTCTTACACGGCATATAAATGCAGAAGAATACAGAATAAATGTAAACATTACTTTTAAGCAGCGTTGACAATTCCTTAATTAATCTATAACGTTTGTTATCAGTATAAACTCTTATGTGCGAAATTATTATAATTACTTTACTACCGGAATCTCAAACAAGACAATATGGCCTTAAATGGATTTTTAGAGTTTTTTCAAAAGGGCAAGGTAAGATTGGTTGAAAAAAAAGGTATACAATTGAAACATTTTCAAACTTAATTTCAGACTTTTAAGCCAAAGAAGTCATTTGCGTCGGGAACGATAAGATATTCTCTACATAAGCAGGCTCAGGCCAGTCTGCAATCTGGGATTAATCTTCGGCAAGTAGTGCGTCTGCCGCAAGGTGAGAATTTGAACGACTGGCTAGCTGTGCATGGTAAGAATTATTAAATTATAATATTATATAATAAATTTAATTATTTACAAATGTTCTTATTCAGTTGTGGACTTCTTTAATCGCATAAATCTCATTTATGGTACAGTTTCTGAGTTTTGCAACGAAACAACCTGCCCTACAATGTCCGGGGGCTCGCGGTATGAATATTTGTGGGCTGATGGAGATCTGTAAGTAAACAAAGACATTAATCCTTGCTCGAAAAACTATGAATTTGTACAATTTCAGATACAAAAAGCCAACAGCCCTCTCAGCCCAGAAATATATTGAACATTTAATGGACTGGATTGAGACACAAATTAATAATGAATCTGTTTTTCCCGTCTCCACTGGTAAAGTTTTTAGTTTGATCTAAATAATTGTATTCACGTGAATATATAATACTACTCTAATTCCCCAAGACATAAATTTATAATTTTAAGAAAATGTCAATAAGGGTATTCTGAGAATACCAATCTTAAAGTTATTGAAATGTGTCAAACAAAAACTGAGGGTGCAGTTTAGTTTAGAATATTCTATACTCAGCAACAGTACTTCTCGTGAAAATAACTAAAACCATGACATTTTTTTTCAGATGTTCCTTTTCCAAAAAACTTCTCAGCTATAAGTCGTAAAATCTTAACCCGACTGTTTCGTGTTTTTGTCCACGTCTATATACACCACTTTGACAGGATTGTGAGCATTAGCGCTGTGCGTAATAATTTATTATATATCATTATCAAGTATTAAACAATTTTCCATTTTTAGGAAGCTCACGTAAATGCCTGCTATAAACATTTTTACTACTTTGTGCAAGAATTCGACATGATATCGGCCAAGGAATTGGAGCCTTTACAAGAAATGACATCTAGAATTTGCAAAGACAAGGATATGTAGTTTGTGATGTAAATATTTATTGTTTATTAAAAATATTTTTTTTAGAATTAAGCAAAGCTTAATTTGTTTGTCTTGTTTTGGGATTTATAACATACATACAAGCAAGTAAGCGTCTGTTGTAACTTATGTTTGAAATGAGCTAAATGTATGTGTTAGTTTTTAATGAAAAGAAGACAAAAACAGATTTATTTAATGTACAATACAGTATATTTTGTGCTATACTTTTGGTATGTTTGGCAGAACAAATGTTATGTTAAGGGTAATCTTTGCGAATTGAAATGGTATATTTAAGTTCAATGGTCACACTGATGTAAACAGAAATTCTTCGCGAAAAACATTTTATGATAAAATATTATACTGCAGTAAGCCCGAGGTAAAGTTTGGTTTAAAATGGAGATGGTTGACCCAGATGCACATTTGGTGGCTTTAAAAGGTAATGAAAATATACCCACATTATTTTATCACCCTATAAGTGTCGTGTTATTAATCATAGTTATGCGTTTGATGCGGCCCACTTTGGTGGGACTTGGACCCGTCGTAACTTGCGAGCCCACGGATTTGGTTCAACGATTTACCAACGTGCAGGAGAGTGACGGAGTAACCGGGGTCTGTGCGGAAACCCTGGCGGCTGGACAAGTACTGCTGCTCCCACAATCTTTCGGGAGCATATATCTGGGCGAGACGTTTGCCAGCTACATCTGCGTCCACAACACCACCGCCAATCCTGTGGAATGTGTCACGGTTAAAGCCGACCTTCAGTCAAACACAACGCGCATCAACCTGTCCATGCACGAGCACGCAAAATCGCCGGTGTTGCTGCCCCCCGGTGGAACCATAGACGATGTCATACGATACGAGGTTAAGGAAATCGGAACTCATATGTAAGTAGGTATGGGAGATTTGCGTGATTATCAAATCAAATTAATCCCGAGTTTTTTCGAACAAGAAGTGTTGATTAGTTTTAAAACTCTTAGCTTAAGTATTTATGGAGCAGTCAAATTAGTTAGGTTTACCATGAAGGCTAGAGAACATAACTAATTTAAATTATTTCATTCATATTTGCAATTACAATTTTAATTTTTAGTCTTGTCTGCGAAGTGAATTACTCCACACCAGCTGGTTATGCGCAGTCCCTGAGAAAGTTTTTCAAGTTTCAAGTCCTGAAGCCACTCGATGTAAAAACCAAGTTTTACAATGCTGAAATCGATGAAATATATTTGGAGGCCCAGATACAAAACGTTACCACCAGCCCATTCTGTCTGGAGAAAGTTGAATTGGATGGTTCCGAGGACTACTCCGTAACTCCATTGAATACGTTGCCCAATGGCGAATCTGTTTTTACGGTCAAGCATATGTTGCAGCCAAACAATAGCTGCCAGTTTCTTTATTGCATTAAGGTAAGTTATGGAAAAATGATATTCATTTGATTCCATCCATTTGCTTGTGTTATGAGCAGCCGAAAGGAGTTATTGCTAAGGACATTGACACTCTGCGGCAATTTAACAATGTGGGAAAACTGGATATTGTCTGGCGCTCAAATCTTGGCGAAAAGGGAAGGCTGCAAACCAGTCAACTGCAACGGCTGGTAAGGAAATTTAAAAATTAAAAATACATGCTTACATTTCAAACACTTAATTTTCAGCCTTTTGAGTGCAAAACACTTCGCTTAGAGGTACTGGATGCCAAGAATACCATTAAAATCGGGACAATATTTACGTTTAACTGTCGGGTGACAAACACATCTGAGCAAGCAATGAAATTGAACGTGCGCCTGGCTGCCAAATTTTCAGCGGATAGTCAATACACTGGCTGTGCCGATTTTATGCTGGGTCTTCTGCAAAGTGGAGAATCTGCGGAGTTTCCAATCTCGGTTTGTCCGTCCAAGTTGGGCCTCGTTAAAATATCACCATTGATATTGACCAACACACTCCAAAATGAGCAGTTTACCATAGAAAATGTTGTCGATGTTTTTGTTGTAAATTCTGACTACAACAACGACAATACAACGCACCAAAATAAGTTAATTCGCTACGAAAGTGCTGCAAATTGTTTAACTCAAAAGCAAGTTCAATTGCAGGTTGTGTAGAATTTTCTGTTAATAAATGTAGAAATAAAACAAGTTTTTTTTTATTTGAAACCGGGCTTCCGAGTTCTTGAATTTCTTAATTTTCTTTGTTATTAGAAAAGATTTAAATTTTTTTTAAATTTAGGAATCGAGCAGCCTAACATGTAAACTTTTGGTCCCACAATTCTATATTTTTAGATCACCTTAAGAAAAAATACTTAAGTGCATGGTATTCTTTGGCACTTCCAATCTGGTCACACCATTTCACAGTTTAGATCACAACATTAGACTAAATTGAAGATGTTACGAAATGTGTGCACATTTTTCACGCATTTCGGAAAATGCGCATTTCAAGCAAACCAGCCCTTCCGTGGCATGGCCGGCCATTCAAAATGGGCCAATATTAAGCATACTAAAGCCCTGAAAGACGGGGCCAGAGCGACACTATTTGCAAAGATTTCACGGCAAATCAGGATGGCCATTCAGGAGGGAAACTCTGCGGATCCCGCACTAAATTCTCTTCTGCGGACAGAAGTAGAAAGGGCCTTGAAGCAAAACATGCCCAGCGGTACAATACAAAACACTCTAAACAAATTTAAATCTAGTAAAATTCAACTCAAGAAGTACCGGCTGGACATCCGTTACAAAAGGATCGTATACTTGATATGCATTTTTTATACAGACAACTTTTCTGGAGTGAAAATGGACGCGACACCAATGATAAAGAAATCCGGGTAATACCTTAATTCGCATTTTCTATATTTTAAAAATTACATCATTTCATTTTATTTTTTAGAGCCGAATTCATGGATGTAGGAAATCTGTTTGAGGACTTTGGCTTGATAGAAACTCGGTATGATACATCGAAACTTCTTAACGGGCCCAGTTTAGAAGATAAAGCCACTAATGATGCGATAGAGCTTGGAGCGGAAGAGATCGAAGTAGTTGACAATGCCGAAGGCTCAGTTAATGTATGTTTATTAAATGACTTTTTTTTCGTAAAACCTCCTGGGCCTAACCTATTTTTATTTGCAGTTCCTTTGTAGTCCTGTTGTTTTAACTTCTCTAAGTAGAAACTTGGAAAAAGCTGGATACACGATAGAAAATAGTGAACACATCTTTTCTCCCTTGGTAAGGCTTGCTGTACTTTATTTTTAATTCTTCATGTCAGTCTGAAAATGTTTTGTTTATAGAATGTGGTGCAATTATCGGCAGAAGAACAAAAGGCTTATAACGTGTTCATAGAAAAGCTGAGAAACATACCTGGTTTAGAGGATATCTATGACAATGTTGAATAAAAATAAACTTGTTGAATGAAACTTTTGCACCGTAAAGTTTTTGATTATATAAACAGGAAAATAGTCCAAAATATTTAAAATTATTTTTAATGCAATGTAAAAAGATAATTAATTTTTAGAAGGATCTTTCAAAACTCATTGGCCGTTTGAAGATGTCGTAACTAGGATAATTTCATAAATCTCTAATTTGCATATTTTGTTTATCCCTTTCTCCCCATTTAATAAATCATCTAAATTCCTCCCAAAAAGGAAGGATCCTAATAGCTAATGCTATTTATTACGAATTATCAAACTTTACAAATAAAGTTCCAAAAAACTCTAAAATAAAAATATTAAACAATCTCCATCAGTGCGATTCGTCACCTTCGACAAAATTATGTGAATGAATATGTGTTCCAGGTCCAATGTTTCAGAATCAACACAACCCCTACTGTTATTTAGAAGCTTATGTAAAAAAACTAGAGTGCCCTTAGCAAAATGCACTTCAGCTGTGAATCCAAACCAATACATGTGGAATCAAAATCAGTGGTCAAAATAAAGTATTAGGTTTTAAAAATGAATTATTTAAGAGTTATACGGAATAATTGGAAAAAATGTACGTTCGGAGCGGCTGTGTCTGTTTACGCTCTGCAATCGGTGAAAACGCATATTGAGTATGCATTCAGAAAACTCTTAAAACAAGACGAATGTTTAACCTCTACTTTTCTCCAGGATTGAACAACATATGAGATCATTTGCTTCCAACATTCAGGCAAATTGGGTATCAGATCGACCGAAAAAGGTTCTTGTAGTTATGAATCCCGTGGCCAATAAAAAGCGATCGGAGAAATTCGTAAGTACATGGCACATTCTTGACTAAGATCTCAACCCAGCCTTAGTTTTGCAGTTCAAGAACTACTGTGAGCCGGTTTTGCATTTAGCTGGCTATTCGGTCGAGATCCTTCGCACTAACCACATTGGACATGCAAAGGCTTACGTGGAAGAGATGACTGCACTCCCGGATGCGATTGTGGTTGCCGGTGGCGATGGAACCTCATCGGAGGTAGTGACTGGGCTGATGCGAAGGCGTGACAATCTCTGCCCAATTACTATCCTTCCATTGGGGCGTTCGGTTCAATCCGCATCCAAGCGGTTCAGTATCTTTGGCGTGAAGGACGTGGCGTACGTCAAGAGTCTTTGTAGGGCTTTGGAACCCATGCTTAGGGATGAAAGCCAATACCAAAGCGTAATCCGCTTCGATGTGATTAACGAAGACGACGGCAGCGACAGCCAACTGAAGCCCATATTTGGCCTGAATGGACTTTCCTGGGGACTACTCGAAAACATTGACTCGGCCAAGGATAAGTACTGGTACTTTGGTCCGTTCCGCCACTATGCTTCCGCCGCCTCCAAATCGTTTGCTGACAACTGGAGCCTGAAGACTGAATATGTGTACACACCCCCCTGCCCAGGCTGTATTGACTGCGCTTCTGCTCAGCGCCAGGAAGTTGCTCTACCCTCTGGGCTCTTCACGAGAAACCTTTTCAAGTACCAGAAGAGCACGACCGAGCCAAAGAGGACGCTCGTTAAAAATGATAACTGCAGCAACCAGTTCAAAGGGAGCGTTGAGGCCAGCCAAATAAACATAAGTTGTGTTCAGAACCAGGATAACTTTGCGGAGCTGGAGAGCCAATTCATAAGTTCTTTACAGCCGGGCTGGGAGTTCATAAAGCAAATACCACAGGTCACCTGCAGCAACATCTTGCCTAACTTGGTGGTTAAGAGTCGAACTATTCAATTGCATCCGGCCGGCGAAATGGCAGACAAGTTCTACTCCATCGACGGCGAGGAGTACGATGCAAGACCCATTAAGGTATCTGTTGTTCCCAATGCTATTAAAGTTTTTTGTTAAAATTTTAAACGTGTATATTAATTAAATCTTGATTAAATGGCGCTATTAGTATAGCATAACACATTCACAGCAAAAGTTAACCGCTATTTCTTCCCAAATCCAGAGCTGCGTGTAATCATTTTCAAATTTCTCTGCGGTGATCAAAATCAATTTATCGTTTATTCGAATGCATGAGCCAGTTTTACGGCGCAGAACTTTTATTGTAAATGATTTTGGCTTGCAATTAAAGTGATCATACCAACATTTTCTGGCAATACACTCGATTGAACGGATATAGCGTGGAAAGTAATTTAAGCCTAAGTCGATCCAGTTGATCTTAGAGGAGCATTCCCAGGGACGTTGCTTGAAGCCATCGATTCTCGGATGTGCCACTCGATCCATGAATGCGCTTCTTGTTCGCAGGCTCTTGCTCCTCGAGGACTCTTTCTTTTCCACCAACGCGAAGTGGTTTGTCTCCCAGGCGGGAAAGTGGCTGACTGAGATCACGTCACTGTCTGCATAGAATGGCAATTCGTACGACGATCGCTTGTATCCCAACTGGTAGCTTTTCTCCTCGGGTTCGCCCGGCGGATCGATGCTCATGTAGCGAGGATTGAATGCCTGGCCAAGAATTTTGCTCAAGGACTGGATTGAAAGCTCTGCACAGTAGTCCGCTTCATCTTGCTCTGAGCAAGAAACTGCCAGCAACGTAAGGCAAATGGCAAGCCAGATAAGTTCTTTAAGTTTTAGTAACTTCATATTGGGGCACGATATTTGCAAAAACATGGCTGGTTGAAAACAGGGTTACACCAATGCAACTTATTAATCGATCTTACTGCAATGGTTATCGTCGTTCCTACACTGAAAATTAATAAAGTAACCTCGATTTTAATATGTGTAACATAACATAGATAAATAAAAAACTTAAATTTAATATCATCGATTTTAATAGAAAATATGTTTTCTTTATTAATTTATTTAGTGTATAGTTTGGTAACGTTCGCACCAATAACTTTAATGAAGTTATGTCACTTTTCATGTTTAATATTAGCCTAATTATATTCTAATGTCCATTTAATTTTCCTCATGATAAGCTAAAAGTAGTTTAACACCTTCTAATAGCATCTTATGAGTACAAGACGGACCTAATTGTTTTTAAGTATAAAGTCATATAATTTTACATTACGAATTACAAGATCAACAGGTCAGATTTCCTAATAAAGTAGGACGGTTATTAATTCAAGCCTAATAGCCGTATAAACACCTCTGACAGCTTACACCTCTTATCATCACTGATCACCGAAAAATTCCCCATCTCTATAAACCGTCCGTTGTTTTATCAAAACACTAGAAAGAAAGTTGTACTTTGTAAAATATACATATATATTAAATCTGCAATATTAAAAATGGTTCCTCGTATTACAACTACTGAGTGTATGCTAGTCCTTGGGTTCTGTGTAAAGTGAACGAATCGTACACGCGCTGCAGCTCAGATAAACGATACTCCTCTAGGCAAACAATGCCCTGCAACGATGGAGAAAGTTTAAGGGCACACGATAGGCAGTGAACAACGTGTCGTTTCTCCTGTTCTTTGATAAACAGTACATTAAATACTTCAACCTGCAGAGAAATATAAATGGTTTATTATTAATCATTTACCTATTTAAATGGTAATATATTTTAAAGGTTAATGGTTATTTTGACTAAATAATTACGTACCTCGCACTGTCCGCAATAATGGGAGGCTTCATTCTTCCCGCGGCCATTAAAACGTATTTCCACACCTTTCGATTTAACGTACTCTTGTATATGCAACACATTTTTCAACGTTTGCAACAAACACATTCTGTTAATTGGAGAACATAATTTATTTTCTCAGGATTCCAATATTTATTAGTTTTTTCAGACATCTACTCACTTGATCAGTTCAAAAAGTTTGGTATCGGAGACTTTAATATTCCTTGCAAGGTTCCAGCTTAAATGAACCATCGGAACAATGCTTTTGAAAGCTTGCACTTTATTCCATTCATATCGTTCGATGGCAAGAGAATACTGACGGGCAGTTAATGGTCCAACATTCCACGCAATATTATTGCACCATCCCACCGACTGAACCCAATGAACACATCTGAAAATCAGATTGATAAAGTTAAAGAAAGGAAGTGAAGTTGGATTTCCATTCCCACTGCATACGAATGGCTATAATCGAATCATGTTCAATTATAGTAAAACACTAATTAAATAAGAAGGAAGATAACCAAAAACCCTGATTTATTAATGTCTATGTCGGTTTTTTAAATTAAAAATTGAAAGTGAAATAAAGAAACCGATCTATAAAATATATTAAACTTCATTCTTTGCTTACCCAGCATTAACCCAAACCAAGTCTCCGGGCTTTTGTATAAATCTGTAAACCGGAATATTCTCCTTGTATAAATCTTCTAAGACGGGCCACCACGAACCGTGCAGATAGCTAATGTTGTTCTTCTCGCACAAGTTGTGTACTCCGCCCCAGTAGGCATCTGGAACGGCAAACCATTCACAGTCCCCTGGACCGATATTAATATTGATTGAGCAGAAGTTGTTGTTTTCCTGGTGGCCGGGTGTCCTACTTCCCGGTACTTTCATGTACAATTGAACTGTGTTCATGCCTAAAATTACGTGGCCAACGTGAGAAAGCATATTGGCAGCAGATATAACTCGTGCAAAAGCTGGCAGTTTTTGTAGCTCTGTTAGTTGTGGTTTCCATTTCCGTTCATCGGAGAGGTCAACGTTGGTGCCAAATCTACAAGAAGACGTTGCTTATAAGTTTATCTCTAAAAATTCGGAATACAAAAATTATAAAGTTTGAGTTTAAAGTACCTTAACATTTTGCTGTTTATTTTGTGTTTTTTTCGCTTTAAAACAATGTTTGAATTGGATACTGAGTCCTTCGAGTCTGAGTCGGACATTGCTTGGGAGCCCGGAAATCCCTTATCGCTTTCATCCTGCGGTAAAATAAGCTATGCGATAAAGTAAACTGTATTCATGTTAATTAAGAACTACACATCACACGTTACCTTCAAGCTGTCCTGAAAACTAGATGCTTGATACTGGGCATATTTGGCTATTGTTGTGTGAGACCGATGGGAAATGCAGGCCCAAACTCGCTTGCCCTGCGAAGTGTCCCAATTTTCGTCGGGTGACTGATGAACTTGGGTCCGGACCTCCACACTATGATCCGGATTGGCTTCCACCAACGTTTTGGTCGAAAAGAGACCGAGATCTAGTTTCAGAGCGCCTGCCAAGCCGCGGACAACGGCAATGGGATGTTTCAGGCAAAACTCCTGCAACTGGGGGCTGAACGCATTCTTCTTATTTTCTAAATGAACAGAGGGAGTGGGTGGCAGGAGTTGATCCCTCGTGAGTTTTTGCGGTGGGCAATCGGGCGGAGATGGCGGGGGAGCATTCACTTGCAAAATAGTGCAGTGTACGGGCGGTTCGTCGATCGGCAGCAGTTTAACAGCTGCCATCAACTGCTTTGAGTCCATTTGTATTTTGAACGTGGTCGATAAATCGGAGGTAGATCCTCCATTATATTTATTGTGCCTCGAGTCCTCATTTAAATTGTTACTCAACGCATCTTGGCTTAAACGCTCAAGTTTTATAGTCTCATTATGTTTATAAATATCATTTGAGATGTCATCGAAAGTGTCTAAAACACTTTGTTCCGAAATCTTGTTACTCTCCGGCATTGTGTTGAAATTGCGCTGGCTTAAGGTCTCTGAAATGTCTTGATGTAGAAGCAAAAAAAATGATGTCGATAACCATAAAAGATGTAATTTAAAGATGTTAAACATACTTATTAGATTTTGATGTTGAGAAGATGTCTGAATATTGTTTTGCATTAAATCTGGCTGGCCTGAGCCATCTTCCTTAATACGTTTCGCAGGTATAGGGCTTTGGCTGAGTTGGCTGTGCGGATAAGGAGGTGGTGGCCCCTGTAAACAGAACTCACTATAGTTAAATGGTTTTAACAACGCTTAATTTGAAAATGTTAAAGAAAACTTTAAATCACTGACTTCGGCCTAGTTTTCAATATACCTGTATTGGACTTTGTTTTGTGTTTTGTCTTGGAAGCATCTGCGCTGTTTGTTGTTGGCGAGAGTTCATTTCTAATGATATTGGCAGATTCCAAGCTTCTTCAATTGAACACAATGTGCGGCGCTTTGATGTAATACTGGGCAATGGTGCTTGACTAAGCTGGCCCTCTAAAAAGGTTATTCTCTGAGAAAGGCCTTTCGACAGTCCAATCGTGTCCTTTTTCATGCGTATTGCTTGTTTCCTTCGTAACAATGATGACTTCTAAAAGCAAAAAACGTTTAAAAACTTCAATATAAACAAACATTTAACCATACATTTACCTGGAATGATATTTGTTTGGTTGCATTTAAATAGCACGCATAGGCATCTCGTAATTGACCACAGCTCTCATAAAGTATTCCCAGATTGGTCCATGCGGCTTTATGGTCTTTATCCAATTGCACTGCACATATATAAGCCTGAAGTGCGTCTGTTGGTTGATTTTGTTGCTGATATAAAACGCTTTGGGTGCATGAATTAGAATTAGAAAAAATAAAAGTATATAGATTATATATGTATTTACCCGATGGAACACCAGGTATCTGCATTGCCTTCACTTTTCTCCACCGAGTTTCTGTATGCTAGGAAAGCATCGTGGACTTTATTGATGCCGGCATAACATCTTCCTAGTAAGTATAATGATTGTCCACTCTTGGGTTCAGCTTCAATTGATTTTTGAAGAAAATTTAATGCGTTTGCTTCACGTTCCTTTTTTTCGCCTAGGCATTCTACGCAGTGGTACATCCATCCTAAGCAGGCAATAAAAAATGTAAAAGTTTAACCTTAAGTTTAAGAAATAAGCGTCGGTTTGATAAAATTCCCGAAGGGTAGGAAAAAAAGGGATGTAATAAGTTTTTGTTCTTGTTTTAACGTTTATTAATATAATCTACTATATTATTGTTTTATTTGCAATTATTTAATAAATTGGTTTGAAATTTGCATTAAGCGAAAAGCATTAAAATACAACAGTAAACCAAAGTTAAGTTTTAATAGTAACTTACCTAATTGTCTATAAACATCTGCTTTTAGTTCCAATGAAATGTTTTTTTCATTTAGAAGAAATTCATAGCCGTCCTTTGCTGCCTTGTGCTTGTTTTGGACTTCATACAAATGCGCGATTTGAAATTTTACTGTAAAGAAGATGCAAATAATTCAGAACTATTTTAAAACTAAGGAAAAATAAGAATCAAGAACATATAAAGTTATCTTTGGCAGGTCGAAGCTATAATACCTTCCAGCTACAAAAATGATTTAATTTACTTGACCAATATTTTATAAGTTGCATGCCGTCTATAAATTTTATTAAATACACTTTTACTGTGTTTAAATCAAAAAATATGTACACAAAAAAAAGGTCCTAATATTATAAAAAAAAAAATTTTAAGTTTTTAAAAAATTGAATTACAATTTTTTTTACCAATAGTTTTAAAATAATAAATGTCTGTTAAAGGTACTTACCTTGAAGTTCCGAAAACGTCGAAGGATATGTATAAAGCAGCGACAGTTGCAAATGTTTTAATGCAATGTGAAACTCCCCGCAATGTTTAAGCATAAGACCTAATCGCAAATGAACTTCGTTTGCACATGTAAAGTTAGGACTTAAGTATAAAAGCTCCTGAAATGATTTTATGGCCCTGAAAATAAAAATACATTTTTATAAAAATGGTAGTAAAAATGCTAATTAAACAGAATGTACATTTTTTACACACTTATTAACCCCTAACATAAATAGATTGGAAGCAATTTCAATATTAAGCAAATGTTAAAACATTTACATTATTTGTAATTTAACAATGTTAAACAAGGTGCGGTATTTTTGAAAATATATGTTATTAGTCTTACTGAAATACAAATTACTTTAAATAAAATTTAAATCATTTATTTACAGTCTGTGGTGTTTACATACATTAGAACAGACATATGTACATATTTATTTGCATGCAGTCACGTACACACTTGCTAACATATGTGCGTATGTATTTAGCATGTAAGTTACGTATGAATATGGTTGATTTAACTGTAATACTAATAATTCACACATATAAAGATTGTTGCAAATAAATTGTGACTAGAAAGTGCATAATGTCTTTGTAAAAATCTCTAGAACTTGCGGCCCGTCGGCAGACATGTCTGAATGCACTTAAAAAAAATTAGACAGACATTGGTATACATTATGTACAATTGAGCTGACAGTTTCTTCAGTTGTATTGATTATTTACGCCAGACGAATGCTACCTGAACGATAGCATTCTGAATATTTGTAATTAAACAAAGAACACATTTTAACCCCGAAATTCACATAACGACCTCAAGGGGGGCAATTCATTGCATTTTGTACATACACACGCACTATATACATACATGTAAACAGCATATATGTACTTTAAAACAACCGATTCGCAAAAACAAAGAAACAATTATTTGAAATATATATGTCCGAATTTTAATTAGTGACACCAATTAACTCTGTTAACGATTTTGATTGCAAAATTAATGTTTACAGCATCCATTTGTTATTCAGAAAACATACAAATTACAAGCGAACAATAAAAACTAACCAGAAAACGCACTTTATAGTATAGAAAGTCTTACAGTCTTAATTTTATTTCGTTGTGAACACTTATAAATATATAATATTAATGGCAGTGTTGTTTCAAGTAGAATCTATTTAGTAAACAATTTTATATCAATACAATAGAGATGTGATAGGGTCGATAAAGTGAGCCAATGAATACATGGGAACAAAATGAAAGCGACACATTTTCTATCGGAAGTTATCGAATAATTTGTATTCGAAAAGGAAACGGCCTCACTAATTTTAACTCTACTTTTCACAATCAAACAATTATTTTATTTATAAATTTTCAACGAATTGGAATCGGTTATATTATGTCTTGTGCAAGTTTTTATTCGATTATTAAATGAAGTTGAGTCAAAAACTTTTTTTTTTGGTTAACAGTATTGAATCCGAATCTGGTCACTTAAAAATTTTATCATGTTACGACTTTGAGAAAATTAACATGAAAAAATATTTATCTAAGATATTTTAAATTGGTCCAACAAAAAATATAATTTTGAATTTATATTTAACAAGAGGTAGACACGACTGGCAGAGAGTTGAGAGTGTAAAATGTTGGGCAGCAAATTAATTATGAAAAAGAAATAACCCTTATACATTTTTGAAGAAATAATATTATTACCAGGTATTATAAAATATTAAGTGAACGTTTTAAATTTACTTCAAAATAATCACTATTTTTTTTATTTTTTTAATATATATTTCAGTCGATTTAAATGTAAAATAAACTTACCATTTAAAGCACCGAAGTTTAAAGTAAGCGACACCTATTCCATAAATAAATGCATGGTTTGTCCAGTAATTATTTTCTCGGAATCGTAAATACTTCTGGTACGCAGATAAAGCTAAAAAAAATGAATAAAAGAATTTGCCAATAAAAATAACTTAATAAATTGGTAAATTTTTTGTTAAAGCCAAAAGTAAAATAATTACTTATTTACCTAATGAAAGTACTTATCAGAGATTTAAATTTACCTTATAATTCAAGTAAATAAATTCATTTTTGAATACTAATAAATTTGTATTAATTTAGCAAAATTTGACCGTTGCCTTTGTTATTTACGTTTAGATGATATTATAGATTACAACTTTATAGCGTAAAGGAAACTTTTTAGTATGTGGCTTAAACGGAATTTTGTAACCTTTGTAACTTCATTAAGAGTTTGAATTTCTCAAAACCTCCATTTTCAAAACTGTCCTTCTTTATTGTTGTTGTGAACTCAATAAGTACCTTCATATTCGGTCCTTTCAAAACTAAGTTGCCTACTTGGAAGATTGTTTGTTACTTATAACACATGTATATCTGACGTAAAACACTTCTAGCTCACTTATTTCAAACAGATTTTACTTTCCAAAGAAAAACATATGATTCAAAAATAAATCCATCCATATTAGCCGAGATGGTAGTCACATACATATGTATATCTTATTGCTGCTATTGACAGAGTCCATATATCGTTTTAAGTTTGTGGTTCTTGCTGAAATTCGATACAGGTGCACCCATATTGTTATTTACCTTCAGAGTATTCTCCAAGAAGAAGATGCAGGTGACCAAGTTTACAAAGAGCGTTAACGTATTGTTCATCTTGTGGTTTTTCATCACAGATGAAATTCTTTTCATTAGTTTCTTTATCAAGAATCTTTGTGTCTTCATCATTTTGTGACGACGTGTTTTCCATATGTTCAACTACTACATTTGAAGGGTCATATTTTTGTATAACATTTTTATTATCAAGTGCGTTCTTCATTTCATGCGCTTGTCCATTAGCAATGTAATTTTGAAAGTTCGCTACAGTCTGTTGTACCAGACTTTTAATTTCCGAATTTTTTGATTTTGACAAGTCCAGAAAGCCATAATATCGACTGAAACGTAAATATTTTTAAACAAGTCTCGGCCGGCCAACAATTAACTTACCTATCCAGCTCGCGGACTAAGCAATCCTCCTCAAAAGAAAGTTGACCCATTTTGTAGTCAACTGTTTATAGAAAGCACCGTCTTTAGAAGTGTTCACAATAATAAAGCGTAGTTTTTAAAATATTTTTTTATTTATATTTTTATTTTAGTGATGGGACAACCCCAAATATGATTAGAGATGAGAGCGATGGAAATTTTGTAACGTGTTGCGTTCCCTTCAAATATACTATTCACACCGCGAAAACGGGGAACGGGTGGAATGATTGGATCTGAACAAAGACGCAAGGCATAACGCAAAAAACGAGATGCCAAGGCCACCTTTAAGAAAATATTTCCGCGTAAACAGCTTTCAAGCAAAAAATGTTGAAAATAAGCCCACGATTGTAACCCAAAAGCCCATCATAAGAAGAATAAATTCTAATTTGGTTTATTTACTTGATTATAAATAATTTAATACAGATGAAATATTTAATTTTTATTTAAGCAATTTAATTCTTAAGAGGAAGAATTTTTTTTAACAAAGATCATTTTAAAATTCTCGAAACAAAATCAAAATGTTTTTTAGGAATATATTTTACATGTGGTATTTAATATAAATTAAGTTTAAAATTAATATCCATGTAGAAAGTCCCTTGGAATGACACATATTGGCTGCGTTTACGAAATATCCTTTTTCACTTTCAATGTTTTCGTTGACTGGAAAAAACAAATTTTAAATGGTTTTTTTTTTATTTCAAAAGGTTGGCTTTTGTGCGTTTTGAATACAGTTTTAATTTAATAACCAAAACAGTTAATAAAACCTCTTGATATTACGTACATTGGCTCGCTGTGTTTGTAAAATCCACTCCCTCAGTTTCAATGTTTTCAGTATCTGAAAGGAAGTTAATAGTTTTAGGTATAGCTCTTGTTTGAAGTTAGAAGATATGAAAGTAAAAACTGAATTAAATAAAATATATTTAAATTTCTTACTGATTTCTGCTACGTTGGTTAAATCTTCTGCCTCAGCTTCAATGACATTTATAACTGCAAGAAAAATATAATGAAAGCATAGGTTTGTCATCCCAATCAGCATTTTTAAAAAATTAAAATCTTTTTTAAAGAAAACAAAGGGTAATAATCGTTAAATATATTTTTCTTACTGGGATTTGCTGGGTCTGGGAAATATTCGTTCCTATCCGGTTCAAAGAGTTCCTTAACTAAAAATATGTAAAATGATCATATTAATTATACAAATGTTATTGCTTAGAAATAATATCTTTTAATACACATACGTTTGGGGGATCCGTATCTTTTTTGAAAATATTAAAACGGTACAAGAATTATAAAATAAAAACAATACAATCAAAAAGTTTTTTTAAAATTTGTATGTAAAGATAGTGACTTAAATGTTATTCCTTTCAAGCGAATCTGTTATCTTTTAAATCCTGTTAAAAGTAGATCTTTTCCGCATTAACAGAAAATTATTCTTATCAAATTAAGTTAACGCTTCTTTGGAAAAACAAAGGGAAGTTTCTCGGAAACTATTTGTTTTATTTATCCCTTCATATAAACTATGATAAATACAATAAATACTATTCATTTACATTACCTATTTCTGCGCTTTTTCGTTGGCGATAAGGAAGAGATGCACTGTAGTTATTGTTTTTCATGTCGGCAATCTCTACATTCTGTAAGATTGCATATATCCAACTTAAGTAAGGATTTAATTGCGTAAATCTATTTGGAATCCCATTTTCATAAATAGATTCGTGTGTATTTTCCGACAAAATTCCATACGAAATAATTCCAACTAAATTACTCTCATGAACAATACCAAAGCCCGGATAAACATTTTCTCCAACGGAATCTTTCCAAGCCTATGGGATAAAATTTATTATTAGTTACCTTTAAAATTAGAGCCCTGCATGTGTATTCTGAATCTGATTTAAAAAAAATCAATTAATATATAAAACAAGCGCTTATTTAGGTGGAAGCGAGTAGATCGTATCATTCAAAATTGAAAATTTTCTGAGATAAGTATACTCATGCAGTATTATTAAATATTTAAATTGAAAATGGATATGAAAATTGGTATCAGTACTTACGTGAGAGTCTACGCCGTCTTCCAAAGGTGAATTCGTAAGATCGTAGTCAGCTACCAGGACCCATTGAACATCGTTTCGATCAGCCAGGGGAAGTTGTGTACTTAGACTTACAATCGCAATATCATGATTCAAACTTGACGCATTAAATTCAGGGTAGATTTCAAAGCCACTAGCAAAGTATATCAACTCATTCAAGTCTTCGCTTTTAAAGGATACAGCTATCTCCTCAGATTTGAAAAATTCTCTTTGATTTGAGGTTTCAGTAGCACGTAATAAACACGATGCCGCAGTTAAAATAAGACGACTTTGAATAATATTTCCATAGCAGTGGCCATCATCCAAAACTCCTAAGTTATTTCTTTTACGGATTAGAACTTGATAAGAAGGGCGAAAGTACTCATTTTGAACGCACGGAAACAAGCACAAAATAATTAGAGCTACCGAAATCATAATTTCTTTTGATACGTGGACAGTAGAACCTTGACTGCTGTCTTCACGGCTCCCTTACAAGATTAAGATAGTAAGTAACCTCAGATGCACAACGAGATATAGCTTATCTTTTTATATAATTTATACAAGTACAGGAAACCCCGCGTTTCGAGGTTTTATTTTGTCTAATTATTAAAGCATAAACAGGTGTCCGCGATAACGTTATTCAAATAAATTGAAACTTTAAAAACTAGTCAAAAACATCATCAAAAAATCTCTCGGAATGTTTACAAATTTCACAGAGAGCGAAAAGATTTTACAGCTTATTTCCCATGTTTTTACTGTGTGCCATGTGTGCTTAATAAAATGAATGAAAACGTTAAGAGGGTAGTTCACTAACTGCTTAAAACTTTTCAAAGGTGCACCTTATTTTTGGTTTAGTGACTTATCCTAAAAGGGCACTTTACTTACCAAGGAACATTTTAAAAGAACAAAATATTGCATTTTTTTTCCAAAATTTAAATTACAAATCAAAAAAAATTCTAACAAATATATATTTCAATGAATAACAAAAATGTATTTGTAAAATCTAGTTAAATGTGTGCCAAGATTAGAAAATATATTCTAATAGTAGACTAAAATGGACAAAAAGCAAAAGCGGTTTTGGATTCAATTAAACTATACTAATCCTGAGCTTGATAAATATGTGATATTTATTTTTCTCCCATTTGGGCGTTTTTAATTGGAAAAAACAGTGTTTTTCAATTTAAATTAATGTATGCTTCAAAGCCGTTCCCGTCAACTTTCTTAGACATCGTTTTTATTCGCTATACATTATTGTGGAATGATATCAGATCAACTATTTTTGAACATTAATAGATAGGTATCTGGATAATGCGTTCTAAAGATGTTTTATGATGAAACGATTCTAAACGTATTTCAAAAATATTTTACTTTGTCTTATGAAGTTGAAAATAAGACTAAATCCGTTCAGAAATAACGTTTTTTAAGCATATTTGTTTAAAAAATACTTATTTGTATCTCGCCCCTTTTTGAAATAAGCGGAAAAGCTTTTCTTTCGACAATGCCACGGTTAAATATGTAAGTACTTATTGCGGGCACCCAATTTCGACTGAACTTTTGAAATCAGATCGAAATGGAAAATTAAAAATAATTGGATGAACTTATTTAAGGTAGGAAATCATTAAAAGTATTCATTTGGTTGAAGAATTCACGGTTGTTTTTTTTTTGATTGAGTGATGCCCAAGACATTTATATAAATATTCATTCATACTGTGAGATTACGATTTGCTTGTACGCAAACGCAGCTGACTGACACTTGACTCCGTAATTTATAAATCTCGGATAAACCCGCTTTCAGGAAAAAAACAATAGCGAAATACCGTTAAAAAAAACGAAAAGGTCGAGTGTTCCTAATGCGACATACAAGAGAGTTTTAAATTAAAGAAAACGTAATTCGCCCAGAAGCCTGCAATATACATACCAAAAAGGAGTTGTTGACATTCTTGGAACTTTAATATTAATAGCCCCGAATCATTCCTTTTAATGACACCCAGTGACTTTTTAGAAATACTTTATACTTATACTAATACTATATGTCTTACTAAATTGCATCCCATAAAGGTTAATTTGACGATTTTTGGCAAAGAATGTTTTGCATCTGACTTGTTTGCAGTTACAATTTGATCAGTCAGCCAGTAACTAAAATTATGTGGTTCTTCTGTCTTCAAAATTATAATAGTCTTTAAAATTGTATTTATTTTAAACCAAATACCTATTCAAAAAAATGCAATTTCCTATTAAGCGATTGTTATATTATAGTTATAAGGGAAAAGTCACCATTCCGATGTCCTTCCGTATTTTTGTACCGTTACTCGTAAAGTAAAAGGGTATACTTAATTCGTTGGAATGCATGCATAACAGGTAGAGGAATCGTTTCCAACCGTATACAAAATGTATATTATTGAACAATATTGATCAATAGCCGAGGCGATTAAGCCATGTCCGTCCGTATGAACGTCGAGATCTCCAAAAACTGCAAGAGCTTGAGATTTGGGATTTAGCATAAAGATTCTGGGTTTTAAGGACCTAGTATATTAAAATCGCACTAAAAAACTTATTCGGTCATATATATTGACACTCCAAAACTTTCCAAATCGTACTATCTCTTTAGAAGTTATAGGATATAGTGTTATTTATGCGCTTTTAAAAAAAATATTTATATTGGTTATATGTATAATGGTTGAGATCAGAATTTTCAAAACGACAAATCATTTTTAATAAATTTCATTAAATTTATTAGACTTGACACTTCTGAGCCCGATAAAAATTTATCCATCCTAATCCTTGATCTTAGAAAAAATGTATTTCAAATAAAAATAATTGTTTTCGGTAGTTACCATTTTACTGGCTTAATTACATTTTGAAACAATAGGCCGGGACTTTAGGTGTAAGTAACCTATTCAATAAATCTAAACTTATTTATAAAGATTGGGTTTAAACAGCTTAAATATTTACAGTATCGCTTATTATGTTATACAACAAGTACGCTTTAAATAACAAAAGGCTCAAATTTTATTAACTTGCATATCGAGTACAATAAATTGTTTAATTTAAATGAAACCCCTTTTCTTTAGTTGCTGTTAACAAGCGCTCCTTCATGATCTCCTCAGTTGGGTAGTCTGGAAGCTTTAAGTAGTGAACGCATGTGTTCACGGATGGATAGCTTCCTACGCCAGCATCTACCTTTCGCACAACTGTCAGTCGGGGATGTAAGTTTGCAAGTCCTCCCGGAGGCAGGCTACTGCAACCAGTTGTGAATTGGAGAAAAGCTTTCCTTTCGTCTCCCGACATGCTTAACAAAACGTTAACAAAGCGTTGGAACCCAGGACTGAAAAAAGATTTGTATAGTTAATTTTAATATATTAAAATAAAAAACCATCTTGAATGATCCCAAATCAACACTTATCAAATAGATAAATGGATTTGGAAGCTTTATATTCTTACACATACCTGTCTTTGTTGTAGCCAAGTTTTGGTTCAGTATATGAAATAATGTCTTCTCGGCTCCAATGGGGGAACTGCTCTCCACAAATCATCATTCTCGCCTCTGAGGGAGTAAAGGCTGCCAACTTTTTTAGGGGGAACACTTCGTTGAACCCATCACTGAAAGCTTTCATTTGTAGAGCGATTCCGTCCTGGAGGATGAAGTTCATAAGCAGTTCACAATATGCTTCCAGGTTGTTGATGGTGACATTCACAGACGATCCGTTCGGCAGCAATTCGGCCTGGGTGTATCCATAGATCGAGGAACTCGGTAGATACGTGAACGTAAGGGCCAAGTCCTCGAGGGACACTTCCAATCCATTTTGGGTGTGCAGCTTAAGCTCGTTGATTAGTTCTTCTTTCTTCTCCGCGCTAATAGTGTCGTCAAACTCAATTGACTGCTTTCTCATTAGAAGGTTTTGCATTTCTTGTAGGAATTGATAACGAGTTGGATCTATTTCTTTCAAGTTTTCCAAAGACAGAATTCCTCCGAATGCATTTGATTTATTACAATCAGTTCGTAATAGCTTAGTGCAGGTTTCTACTATGTCTGATTCTTCCGACACGACTGAGAGATCGCCATTTCGTCTATCCGAAATAACTTTTTGGAGATTACGTGATAGCACTTTGTTGTGACAAAGCAATTGAAGAAATGATGTTGATAAAGGTATATCCACCAAACGCATATCCTGCAATACTTTTGCCACAAAAACGCCGAAAAACCAGAAGTATTGTAGAACTCTCTCACAGATTTCGCTATTCTGCGGAAGAGGGGCTGGGAATATTCCGTGCTCCCTGCGATTTACGTAATACCCAACTGGTTTTGCATTGCCTTCAGTATTGTCCGATGACTTTTCGGCGTCCTCTCCCAAATCGTCGTCACAGAGCCACATACAGAGATCGGAGCGTTGAATTTCTGCAGCCACTAAGGCGTAGAACTCGAGAGTGGGGCCCAACCCAGTTCCTTCCTCATCCAAAAACTCCACCTCCAACACGGACTTTCGATTACAGTGGGTCTTCATAACCTGCATTGCCCACTTAAGCAAATTCTCGTTTCGAGGCACTTTAACGCGCTCATGCTTAAGACGCCCAATGCGGAATTCATGATCATCTCGCCGCGGACTCATGATGGGAATCCTTTGCCTTTCTACAGTCACATCTCGCTGCGATTGAAGGCATACTATGCTGCGAGAGGCTCCAAACGATGTGCAGTTAAAGTACAACTGCCTGGTCTCGAATGGGAACAAGAACGGGCAAGATTGGTTCAGGTTTTCGCACCAATTGGGCAAAGCGTTGCTTGAGAGCACCAGTGGATCCTGGATTTGCTGTTGCAGTTTGTTCGTTATTTTCTTGCTGATAAAGAGGTCTTCGGACAGCACTGAAACACCAAGTTCCTTGACGTCCGAATCGATTTCGGATTGATTGAGACCATTAATTTGAGTGAGAAGCTCAAGTACATCATCCACAGAGCACAGGTTATTATCGGTTACATTAAATCCGATGTGCATTGGGGAGTTGGGGGACAATGTTGACGCACCACTCTTTGATGACACATCCGGCGTTTGCGGAAATTCCTCCGACTCCAAGCAAGTGCTTTCCTGCGCCTCGGGCGGCACCTCCCGGTACACAATAGTGTATGTGGGCTCCCATATTTTTCGGAACTTGTCTAGCTTGTTCAACTGACTGCACTGCAGCAATTCCTGTACGGCTCTGAATATGGTCCAATCTGTATTGTTCAAGTCAATTTCTACCTCGGGAATTCCACCGATTCCCGGACCACGTAATTTTAGCCCCAGCATGGGCTGTTCAATGGTCTCCTGCCCGCTCTGCTGGGGCTTAGGTAAATCAACGCCAATGGGGGAAATTTCCAAATCAGAAGTTTGATTGACATTTGTACGACCCGGTCGCGGGTCGAATGCAGGTATCAACGCGGAGAACTGTCTTTTCAGGACGAATTCGTCGTCCCAGGACTTGCGCTTGGTTACACCCACCAACCTGTTCTCCAAAGCCTCATC